AGCTAAAGCTTAAGGGTTTTTTTTTTTAGCTCAATTCTGTTGTTTAGTGTAATTAATGCTGCATGCCATTGGCACAGCGATTTAAGCAGTTGGCATGTCCAAGTTAACACCCGAGTGCACCGCCAAATCCCCACCCCAAGCATTACTTAGCCTGCGTATGGCTTCCAGCCGCAATTGGTAACAAAAATTGCTGTCGCTGCACCTGTTACCCAGTTTTGTTGGTTAGCCTGCTGGCGGGGCCGGACCGGGCCGAGCTCTAGCTTGGTTAGTCGGTCGTCAAAACTGGGTCTAAAAAAACGCAAACAAACAAAAACAAATAGCAACAACAACAAAGCCAAAAGGAAGCCAATGTTTCTGGTCGAGTGAACGCCTCGACAATTGTAATGCAAAACAGGAACCATATTGTACCGCACTCTCAGAGCATTGCGATCAGTGCAAGCGAGACGGACCTAATAATATGCCATCGCTTTCTGCTTCAATTGACACCCTTCAGCTAGTTGCCGTAGCAATTGCAATTGCCATTGCAGTTGCAGTTGCAGTTGCATAAAGATAAACATCGACAGCGCAGCTCATTTGGTGGCCATCACGACGCTGCCTCGTTTACTGCTTGTGCTTGCTCTCTCTCTCTCTCTCTCTAACTCTTGCACAATATTTGATTTGGCATCTAATACACCTGACTGTGGCTGTGAGTGTCTTTGCTTCGATTAGATAAACCAGGCACTGCAATAGCTGACAATAGAATTGAATTTATGACACAGCTCGAGCATTGAATAAAAAACCCCAGAGCAAAACCAAATAATAATCGACGCTATTGTTATTGGCTGTTCAAACTGACTAAGGTTTGGTTTCTTTACTCTTTACGACTGCGTCCAAGGGGTATATCGGCAAAAATACGATTACGACTAATTGCATTTATAAAGAACTTATAATTAGTCAGAATAAAAATTACATATTTTTTATTTATTGTGTTTGGTTTGATTTCACTCAGCAAGAACTTGAGTGATAAGATCTTTTCGCTGTTGAAACAGTCATTAACATGGCTTAGCCAAGTATTTCCTCAGCTCTTGTGCCCATTTCCACTACACTCGGAGTTCTGATCAATTGTCACGAACAAATAAATAACGAAGAACACGAATCGAAGCAGAGACACGATTAATTTAATGAACTTCAACAATGCAGAGTCGATTGTGAGTGTGAGTGTGTGAGTATGAATGTGAGTGAGTGAGAGTGCGATTGTGAGTGCGTTAATCAATCGCTCGAATTTCAATCTTGACCCAGTGACTGTCTATGTGTCAGGCCTCGAAGACCTTCCGTCAGTTCCCTCAGGTCTGGGCATTGGAAACGCCCTTATGTGATGATGATGATGATTGTTTTTTTTTTTTTTTTTTTTTTTTTTTTTTTTTTTTTTTTATTGTTGTTGATTCCATTTCACATTGATTGCGTACATTTCCAGCACAATCGATGACAATCTTCCAAATGAATTTAACACTTTTCGTTTGTTGCTTACGTGCTTTGTTGCTATTTGTTGCCTTTGTCTCTGAGCAATTTGTTAATTTCTTTATTGGTTTTTATTGTCAAAGTGTTTCCCATTTGTTATTGTGCCGTGGAAAGTGTAAACTTATTATATTGTCTTTAGATTCTTATTGAAGCATTTGCTTGTTTGTCTTCATAGAGCAGGGGCGAGAGTGGGCGAGGGAGGGGCAGCACATGAGCTGTTATATCAGTGAAAGCGTCGACTGGTTAGCGTTTTTTGGGACTAATAACTCGATGGATTTGCAGCTTGATGTTGATGTTGAAGTGTGCCTGATGACATTTAGCTTTTTCTGATTCCCGCTGATTCCCGCTTTTATGTTGGCGCTTCAACTTTCGCCATGATTTATTGGCCAGCATTTTCGGTCAGTGCGGCATTAATCTTGTGTCTCGCTTATAGTATTTAAATGTATATAAATATTATTTAAATGTTTATCTCGTTGCTTATCTTCAGTATCCCACCAAAGGTTGTTAACCCAAGCAACTTGTGTAGCGGCCACAACCACGCAACTTTGTTGCTCATTTTCGCTGCCATCTGGTGGCAGTGGTGCCAGCTCCTCATTTGGCATTGCGTGCTGCCACATGCTATGCCGTGGAGGCTTCTCTCTCCCCAGTTTGGATCAGCTGGCATGCCAATTCGAAGACCCTTGCGCCCCCATGTTGCTGCTGCTCCTTATAAGCCTGTCTGCCGTCTGTCCGCCTTTTATAGCCGGCGCGCGAAACATTTGCTGCCTGGTCAAGGTTAACTATGCGATCCAATGCGCCGCGTTCCGATTGGCGAATAACCTCCAGAGTCGTCTGTCAATGTCAACATTCATTGGACTCGCTGCGTGCATAGAGATGAGCTCGAGCTGGAGCTCGATTCACAGCATAACTGAGCAGCATTTTAATCTACAGATCAGTTCATAAGTCCAACCCAGTCAACGGAAATCATAAATGTTGATTAGTCTTGAGGTTTGGCAACTACAAAAAGTAGTTTAAATGAATGGGGGTAACAAAATTGCTTTTGAAATTCAAAATTGCATTGCGGTTAACTTTGTTTGTAAATCATAAATATTTGAAATATAATAATAGCATAAAATTGTTAAACATTTATAATGTTAATGTGGCTTCAAGTCAACTTTCTGACTGCAGCAGAACTAATTCAGAGACACTGTTGCATGCAACATTACCTATAATTAGCAGCAGCAGCAGCAGCAGCAGCAGCAGCAGCAGCTTATTTGCTTTGAAGACAGCAGACATCATCAGTGATTATCACTGTTCTCTGGTCGTGCATAAACATTCATAAATTAGCAATTTAATTACTGATTGTGCCGCTCACCTGTTATTAGCTCTTTATATAAATCAATGGCGTTAATCGCAACTTTCCTGCCCAGACGCAAACCATTTAATCGCTGAACTGGCACAGAGCAAATCAATTTCCCGCTGGCCAAGGATATTGCGCAAGTGCTGCAATAGCAGCTGCAACAGTTAATAAAAAAAAACCAACAAAAACATAAAAAGTAAACTAAATGAATTTTAAAAAGCAATTTGTGTTTTGTTCAGTTCAGGCCGCGTTTAGACCCGCGGGTATTATCGTAATGCCAACTGCAGCAGCAGTTGGCACTTAAGTGCTCAAGGCCTGCTGCTCGACGTGACAGGCCGCCACCCACCCAGCAAGCGCAGAGCCACGCATGCATTATGCATGCCACACTGTGGCAGCTACCCAAACGTTGCAACATAGGCAATCAATTAAGATTTGTGGCACTTTCCTGACCATTTACCTGATTAGTTTCGGTTTAACCACCACAAACAAAAATAGGTTTTCTCCCAAGGGGCGCACACCCACATTTTTGACCGAGTGAAAGTTGTGTCACCCGAAATTCTACAAATGCAACTTAAATAGCTTTTTCTCTTCATTTTAGTGCTTATTTGTTTTTGGAATGGAATTCACGCACGCTGCCTTCGATAATTAAGTGAAAATGTCGCAGGCATTGCCAAATTTCACTGATCAATGCAAACGCAACAAATTTAAATTCGCTACACATTAAATAATGAAACGCACAGCAAAGAAACTGTTAGATAATGCTAGACTGTCTGATACCCTGTGGCTAATTATAAAAGCTGAAAAGTGTGACTGCGACTGAATACAAAAAGGCAACGAAATACCATTTAAATAGCGTTCGACTGACTGATACCCCGTAAACTTACACGTTTACTTTGAACATGCAAATACACAAAGAGTTGCCTGTTGAATATGCATACTCTGTAATCTTTAGCTATCTCTACGGTGCAATCTGCTAAACCGACTCCAACGTCTCTTTACCATCTATTTTGTCACACTTTCATTGAATGCGCGGCATACGGAATGAACACCGAAACGAAGAAGACCTCAAAAACGTAGCGATTGTGGCCTAAATAATTGCTCATTGAGGTTTGATGCTGATCATGATCATAACAGCAATCTCTAACTGTGCTTCATTATGTAATTGGTTTTTGTTTTGTCTTCACATGTTTTGCAGCTTATGCAAATTCGCATGTTTGAGGCCAAAGTTTTAGACTGCTTTAAATTCGATTTGTTTGGCGAGAGACAACGAGTTTGTTGTTATGTGGGCGTGATTGGCAACGTCTCTTGATGTTACGTATTTTGTTTATTTTATCTCTTACTCTCTCTCTCTCTCTCGCTCTCTCTCTTTATTTCTCTTGCGTGCGAAAAAGTATAAAAAGTGGAGCAGCAGCGTTTGTTGTTTTGCCTCTCTATTGACAAATTGTATTGAATGGCATTGCAAATTGCCATAGCATAACTCGCACATTATGTCACTAGGTGCTTTGAGGAAGTTGCACAGCTTGACAATGTCCATATATGCCAGCCAGAGCTACTGCTGTAAGTGACTTATTTTGTTTGCCAGCGCTTAGCATAATATCAAATCTAAATAGCTTAGCTGCTAATTGGATCCAGTCTCTATATGGCATCAGTGCCTTTAATGCTATCTAAAAATGGTTATACAAGCGCTGCACGAACGTGCATAATGGGGAAAAGCAGACGTTACTGAAAGCAACGCCTTTCTATGTGATTTTCATAAGTGCTCGATTCGACTTGTTATACAGCATTTGGCGAATTATGCCAGCTAATTGAATAGCAATACAGCAGATCTTTATCCACATGCCAATTGGAAGAAGAAAAAAGCCCGCTATATTGTATCTTACATATATAATTCAATTTAATTTCATTAATGTGTCTGTGTTGCGTATACGCCGCGTTGGCTGTGACGCAGTTGCTTTGCTCTGTGCTCTATTAAAACACAAAACTCAATTAATTTTCTTTGCAAAGCAGATTTTGTTGATCCGCTGGCGATAGGCAATACAGTTTCTCTTTGTTGCTGGCTCAATGTCAATACAAATAAGTACACATACAATTTCTATTAATTTCCACAAATGTGAGACGCAATACAATTAATCCACTTCATGTGTCATCTTATTTTCATTTGCAGGATCAGTACGATAATCTTTCAATACACACAAACAAAGGCATTGAAGTGCTCGATAAATATGCCAATTTTTTACGGGATCGAGTGGCCATAGAAACGGAATATGCCGGCAAATTAAGGTGAGTGCAATGAATAAATATAAATATTCTATTTTATTTATTTATTGTTATCAAAAATTAATTCTAAATAACGATTTGTTAAGCCAGAGCGACAAAGGCCTCCAGGCATTTTATAATTTATTTATTTTATATTTTTTTATTTTTATATTTATATATTTATATATTTATATATATATATAATTATAGAGGTATTTATGGAAAATTAAGTTTAAAGTCTATTATTTATGATGGAAATAGCTTTATTTAGCTAAGCAATTATTTTACTACCTTATATTATTATACTCTCAAGTGTTATAAACAGAATATTATTTTACCTAAAGGCTCATTTTGGCTTTTACGTTCGGAAACTAATTGAAATAATTACAAATGCTTTCAAAGCCCCCGAAAAATGTGTAAATCATGTGGCGCCACTTAATGTCCATATTTGAACGTTCAATTAAATGATATTTTTTGTTATATACAAATGGATGGCAAAGGCCTCGCCCGTTTCGCGAGCTTGCGGCCTGTCAAGACGAAAACAAAAAACAAGCAAATAAACAACAATAAAAACAACAAACAATTCCTTACAAGAAGCAAGACACATTAAACTGAACGACAGTGCAATTCTCGTAAATGTAAAGCATTTTTTTATTTTTATTTTTTGTTTTTGTATATGAATTGAAAAATCGGAATAAGCACAAGGTCAGCCAGTTCTAGAGATTGTGCTCGAAGTGCATTGTGGCCATTCCTGGCCATCAGCTGGCCGTATAAAATAAAAAGCTAATTATATGCTTTTGTAGCGACAAAGCGAGCGAGAGAGCCCATAAAGGCATTTTACTCATAAAGTATATATGTGTCCATGCACTTCAATCAATGCCCTGTGCAAGCGACAACATATGGACTCACTTGAGGGAATTTTGTGGCGCACCTCAACGCGTGTGTAGGAATCTGGACGTTAGGGTGTGCGTGGCTTACACCCCTGACAATGTCCACATGTCCAGTTGGGCTCGCGTTTAGCGCAATTTATTGCGCAATAGACTGACAACTGAATAAACAAGAGACGACCGCGACCTGCCCCACAAGCAAATGACACGCGACGCCTCGCGCTGGGTGTAGCTGATAATGCTGCCTGTTTAATGGGATTGAGCTTGGGCAACGACGAGACCAGCCAGCCAACCGAATGACTGGGCGTCATAATTGTATAAATTGCTTGGAGGAGTGCAGAGCCGCGCCACCCCTCTGTGGCGCTCCGCTGGCCAAGGTGGGATTGTTGTCAGTTATCGTGGCTATCGTTGGCTTCTTCTTCTTCGTCATCATCTTCTTCTTCTGTATTTCTCAATGCGGTGGCGTCTGTTCCCACCATTTGAATGCCGCAAAATGAGTCGAGAGCTGGCTTGATGACTGACTGAACTCGGCTGAACCAAGTGAACTGTGGCCGCTGATATGCCTGCAGCTAGCTACCGTACGGCTTGAGCCCTTTATAATGACATTATCATTGCAAGCCAGCGTTGGCGGCTTCGACGGCGACGACGACGTCGACGGCGCCGTTGCTTCCCATGCGCTCGAACTAGACCACAAATGCGGCCACATGAAATGGAAAACTCTCTGTATAATAGACTAAATATATATATACATAAGTATATAGATGTATATACAGTAGTAGTTAGTGAAATCTGAAATCTGAAATCTGAAATCTCTAGTCTCTGGCAGACTGAAATTTGAAGATTGCTTTGCGTGTCTCGCAATGCCAAAATGAAAAGTCTCGTGTTAATGCAAATGTAAATTGTTTGCTGTTGTTGTTGCTGATTTTGTTGCTCGTATTGCTCTTGTTATTATTGTAATAGTAAATAATAGTTATACATACATAGTTGTTTCTTTCTATGCATAAACAAAGTTTCACTAATGCCATGCTCTTTTGATTTTCTTTCTTTTTTACAGGCGCTTAGTAAAAAATTATCAGCCCAAAAAGAAGGAGGAGGAAGACAATGAGTAAGCACAAAAACCAAACAAAAAATATAGTTATAAGCGTAATAACAATCATATATAGTAAGAAAAGTAAGAGAGCTGTCAAGTGCACTTGCTCAGCATAGAGATACCCTGGAAAAGCAAAGAAATGAATTGTATCAAACTTCTTTACAAATAATTTATTTTTCTATACAAATCAGTTACATGTTGCTCTTGAAATCGTGCATTACCTCTGCCATACTCTTCATACAGGGTATGCCTAAATTGTTGCTGGGTTTCTTTAACACGATTGCGCAAAGATTTTGTTAAATCTTTTGGAAACTATCCATAATTTGTTCGATTTGCTGCCGTTTGGCATATTTGTTAGAGCAACGTGTTAAGTGGATTTTGGCCAACGCCAGCACTGATTGTCTATAAGCGAATCCATTTGGTTGCCTCTGTCTGTGCGTGCCTGTGGCATTTCATTTGCGGGGCACAGCCACATCGTGGGGATGCATGATTGTGGCTACTTTAGGCTCCATATTCCATGTGTGGTCGGAGAATATTGTAAGGCCTGCCACTCAGTTTTAATTACATACGCACAATGCTCGAATCATTCCCCAGTTTTGCGACCGCCTGACATCATGGCCCGCAAATAGCGCGACGCGATTTTTTCTCTCTGTCTGTCCCTCTCTCTCTCTCCTTCTCTAGTTTAGCTAGAATTTGTAATATGACAATGAAGCCATTGCGTCCAAGTTGAAGAGTTGGTAATGAAATGCCAGGCAGCGTTCAAGCTCGATCGACGTTTCGCCATATAGAGTTGTAAAAATCCATAAATTTATTCATGGTGGCTGCCCGGCCTGGAACTGCTCCATATGCGGATTGACAGTGAGACAGACGGACAGACAGATAGGCAGTGGCGACGACAGCGTCGCGTGGGTGTTCACAGCGCGTCACAAAGCGCGTGTCCAATAAGAGGCCCATAAATCGGCAAAGCTGGCGGGCTAGCAAGTTGTTTTTTTTTGTAGGGACAGACATTGGAGGTAGTTTGTAGCCGCAAGAAAAGGCGAGAAAAGGCGTGGGTTGACTGTAAACCCGGTTAACTGATTGCCTGGTTGCATTACTATTTACAGATTTACATCGAGGCAAGCTTTCCGCAATCTGCTCAAGGAGGTGGGCGATTTGGCGGGGCAGCGCGAGGTTGTGTCGGAGACCCTGCAGACGCAGATAATCCACGGCGTGACGGTGCTATCGAAAACACTGCGAGAGGACCGCAAGGTAAACTATATACTGTGCAAATATCTGCCTGTATGCTAGTGGCTTATTACTCTTCCTCTCCTCGCTTTGTAGAAATGCCTTACAGATGGCACCATGCTGCAACAGACCCTCAACGCACAGCTCTCGGCATTGGAGCGCGCCAAGCGCAACTATGACAAGGCGTATCGGGACTCCGAGAAGGCTGTGGAGAACTACAAGAAGGCTGACATGGATCTCAATCTGAGTCGCGCCGAGGTGGAGCGTTACAAGAACATTATGACATCCAAAATACAACAGTCGGACGATGCAAAGAACGAATACGCCAACCAGCTGCAGAAAACAAACAATCTTCAGCAGCAGCACTATGGTATACTATTGCCCGCCGTCTTCAATCGGCTGCAGGAGCTGGACGAGAAGCGTACGCGTGGCATACGGGAGTTCATTATTGGCGCCGCGGACGTGGAGTCCTCTGTGGCGCCGATTATCGCACGTTGCATGGAAGGCATTGTGAAGGCGGGCGAATCCATAAACGAGAAAGAAGACTCGTTAAAAGTCATCGAAAGGTTTGATTAGAAACTGGAAATTTATACTTTTTTGTTCGCTGTCACAGCTAATCACTGTCAACATTTTAGATACCAATCGGGCTTCACACCACCAACGGACATACCATTTGAGGATCTGTCAAAGATGGACCCCAGCGTCGCCCCTCAATCCAACTACAGCAGTGTCCCCTACAACCACTTGACCATTAAGGGCGGCACGCTGACCGCCGCCAAGCTGAAGAAGGCCCGCGGCGGCATCTTGAACAGCATCTTTGGCAGCAACAAGGTGAGAGCAGTCGTTGGCGATGCCTGCTTCTGGTTATGGTTCACCACTTAGTTGCCTTTTTTCTTTCAAAGAGTGCTATCTGTTATGTACATGTGTCTCTATCCCATCTCTATCATTGCCTGGCACAAATTGTCTCTCTCACTCTCTGTCTATCTATTACTTTATCTCTTTAATCTTCTGTTTGTTGCGAGAGATTCCAGCAGCAGTCAGCACAACCGCCTCTTGTGTTTCAGATGCTTCTTGATTAGTTTTAAGTTAATTATTAAGTCGTAGGCTTTTTGTCTTCTACTTATAGTTTTACTCATGCCGTCTCTATTTTTCTGTTCTTATTTCATTTAACGAAACAAATCGAAAAATCGTTATGCCATTTCTTTAATTTACGTTACGAAACTAATGGACGTTGGTTCCACGTTGCTGTAAGTACCAAGTGTCCAGCTGCCAGCAGCTCGCACCCAGGCAGCTCAGCGCCGTTTCGTTTCGTGTCCTCCAAACTCATGTCTTCCATGTCAACTAAACCTAAACAAGATTCTCGCAGTCTTTCATCTATCTACCCAATACTACTTATCTCTACTCTACAATTAACAAATGCATACGAATTTATATATTTATTTTTTAACGTCTCTGTTGTTTGTCACATTACTAAACAAATGTTTTATATTATGCAACAACATTGGCTGCCTACGCTTTTCCCACTCACTTTTCCATTTTCGACAATTCGCCACAAACCACTCAAAATTTTCACAAATATTAATTATAATTAACTCTTTAATTTCTTTTACGCATATTTGTTGCGGTCATACAAATTTCTAACACGAACAAAAACATGCTTTTACTTACACAAACACACATACACTACACCCACACATGCGGAAAAAAAAAACAAACTGTGATACGTTTTCAATGTAATCGAAATGTGTGTATAAATGAAATAACAATTATTATAAATCAATTCGCTGCCAATAGCAACGGCAGATAATTGAAGCTTGTATCACGATGAAGGTATGATGTATATTCCAGCTCTACTAACTAACTGCTCTTAACACCACATTAACTACTAATCACAACTGCTAAACATAATCGCCACAAGCAACTTAATCAAGCTCTTCATTGAATATCACAATCACGTTGTACACCTAACCTTAAGAACAGCATTTGAACTAAAACCTAATCAATGAAATGTACTACTCAAGTTAAATTAACTCATTTGTTAACTAGTTAGTTGGTTAGTTAACGCAACATGCCAAAGCACAACACTCACACATTGCAGAACAAATAATTTAAATTCAATTATAATTTGTTGGTATCTAAAAGAAATTGCAAAAAGAAAGGAATGCAAAATAATATTTTTACTAATTATTTTATGTTCATTTCATTTATTGGTTTTTATTTAAATTTCTGTTCAGGTTTTCATTTGTTTTGTTTTTGTTTTTCTCCCATCTGGCGTCTGCTATACGTTGTGAATGTATTTTGTATAAAATTGTTGTTCCATCATTTCTGTCTTGTATAGTTCATTGCACTTCAACATACCCTATAAATATATACATATATAGAATAGAGACGCAGCTGAGTACAATAACTAATTGCTTCATATATTCACATCTAGAATTCACTAACTGCTGACGGCCAAAAGGAGGACTTTAGCGATCTGCCACCGAATCAGCAGCGCAAAAAGCTGCAGGCGAAAATTGCCGAGCTGCAGCACAAGGTCGATCAGGAGACGAACACCCGCGATGGTCTGATGAAGATGAAAATAGTTTATGAGGCCAACTCCTCGCTGGGCAACCCGATGACCGTTGAGGGTCAACTGAACGAATCCGAGCACGAATTGGATAAACTGAAAATGAGTTTGAAAAAGTATCAAGGCTTTTTGGACAAGGCTAATCAGCTGCAGGTGGCCAACAATAGTCCGCAATCGAATCGTAATCAATTGCAAAACGGACACCGAACATCCAGGTGAGTGGCCGACAATTTGTATATTATATTCCCATAGTCTTGCTCAATTGAAATGTATTCCGTTTTGTTCTCACAGACATTCCAATGGCAGCGCTAGCGCTGACGATCATCACGATGCCGATGATCAGCCCGATGATGCTGGCAGCTTAAGCAGGTCAGATTCTGAGGATAATGTGGCGCAAATACAAAATGGGCATAATAATAACAATAACGGGTACACTCATAAGTCTACGTTCAATGTTTATATATACGCACATACAGCTACACATTAATACAAACACACACACACACACACACACACACACACATCTCCATACATTATTGTAAATCGTATCATACTTATGATTTGGCTCGTTTTCTTACTCATGCTGTATGATTTCCATTGGTGGCATTGATTTGTTTTGTTGGTTTCGGTTCCATTTGTTCAGTTATTTATATCATGATTTATCATTTGAATAATAAGAACAACTGCCCACTAAAGAAAAGTCCACAATACGCCAAAGAAACAAATTTTGATCTTATTTGTATTCAATTAACTAAATTACTTTTAGTTCTTAATCATTTTTAATTGCTTACACCATACATATAACACGTAATAATGTCGAAATTGCAACTTCTTCAAATATTTCGTTTCATTTTGCCTTTCCATGGTGAAATCCAGCAGTTCGGCAAGTCCCGAGAGCGGACTAGGCACCTCGCACACATCACTGCCCGGCTCCGGACAGGGCAGCGCCAATGAGAATCCGATTGGCGAAGAGACGAGCTACGAAGCGGAAGTAGAAATGCTGCAACCACTGGGCACATGTCGTGCGCTATATCCCTTCGAAGGTATGTATTTAAATATCACTCATATACACATACATTCTAAGTAATTAATATCTCTTTCTCTCTTTCTCCGATAGCTACCAGCGAAGGCAGTATACCCATGAGCGAGGGCGAGGAGCTACAAGTGATTGAGAATGATCAGGGTGATGGATGGACGCGCGTGCGGCGGGCGAACAACACAAATGGCTGGGACGAGGGCTTTGTGCCCACGAGTTACATCGAGTGCACACTCTTTGCTTAGATTAGATTAGGCGGCAGGAGCGGGCAGTTAAGCAAATTTTAACTACTTAACAGCATTTGCATATGTTCCATACATTTGTGTACTTTTGTCATAACTTTGCGTTAGTCTAGACAGCCATAAAAACTGAATACCACAACTATCACGAATATTCTTCACACTCTCGCACACACACAAATTCATACACACCCGCATCATGCGCACAACCATGTACATTCGACTTAAGATAAGCTAAAGAATCAGTTTCTGAACGCTCATTTGTATATTTACTTTGATTTACTTTGGCATTGATTATGAAGTAGAGATATCATAAATGCGATCAATTAGCATATTTACATATATGTATATACATATATATACATGGGTATATATACATACATACATACATATATGCACCCACGAGCAGACCTCACCTAACTGTAAGCGAAAGAAAATTAAAATTTGTCCCTTTTTCACAACAGAACAAGTATAACAATCATGTATTAACTATTTATACACAACATATATAAAGATAGAAAAATAAGAAGAAAACTACATATTTCATATTCGTCATGAAAAATAAGCTGGTAAACATATTGAAGGCACACTAATGCCTAAGCGCACCTCGCAATATGCTTACTAGATTTATTTTTTATAATCACATTTCATATTTGATGGCACCTGCTACTTTTCAAGATGACCAAGAAAAGCAACAGTTATTGTGGCTATTAGATAAAATAAATGCACCTTAAATCATTGATAAATATATATATTAAATATATACATACTTTTATATAGAGAGAGAAAGAAACGCATTAATCTAGAGAAGAGCGAATGCTTCCCTGGACCACATTCAGTAATATTCAATGAAGATCGACTTAAAGTGTTAATTATAGCTAAAGTTATGACAATTTTGCATTGTGCATGAGGCATATGCGAATTGGAGAGCAAAGAACGCGTTAGCTTGTTAAATATGGAATAGCAACAATTGTACATTTTACTTTATACTTTATGCATAAAACAAAAGAAAAAAGAAAAAAACTAAAAAAAAAAACAAGAAGGAGAAAACTTAATTATAATTTTATACCTAAATAACTTTTGTATTGCTTTTGCCTTGTACATTTTCACATACACACACACACCTACATACATAAACACACATAAATGTATATGTTTAATGAGATGATGAGCTAAACAAAAGAATTAATTAAAATTCAGAATAAATTTTGTTTTAGGGTCCCTTAGTTCTTTAAGTTGACAACTTTTAAGACTTAAGTCAAATGCAAAGCCGCCTGGCGCTACCTTTTGTTATGTTGAACGCCACTTTGCAATACATTTATTTATACTTTACATAAATAATAATATATATACTATATATACATATATATAATGGAAAAACAAAAACATGCATATATTAATAACCGTAATCAAAAGTTGAAAGTCTGCTGCATAGCGAACGCTTTGTAGGCCTGGCAAAGGGAATTCGATTCTTAGTTAGTTAGTCTCTACTGTACTTGAATTTATGCTATTTTGCCCATCGTCTGCTTGTAGTCCGAATCCGAACTGGTTTTATGAATGAAACACCCAACCAGGTTGTAAATATGCCCAAACCAGCTATCCTTGCATAACTACTGTTTCTTTGCCGCATTTGAACAATGCTTTACATTTCTCGCAGATTTAGCATTTATACTGATGAACAATTAAGAGTGGGTGACCTTGTTCAGTTAACTAAACTAAAGCAAAGCCTAAACTAAGCAGAAAGTCTAATTCCAAAACTCTTAACTTTATATAATTTATACATGAAAAGCTGAGCATAATTGATGTGATGTGTGCGTCGTCGTTCAATCTATGAGTGAACATCAGAACATATGTAATTATAAAATAAATAATATTAAAACATATCGAATGTGATTTACAAATTTTCCCTTCGTTAATATGTGGTGCTTGTCTTCGCTAAAGTCAAACAAAAGCTAGCTGATATGCTTTGAGAAAATGTTGGCGCCATCTGTAGTACAGCTGCTTCAATTTTTTATAGATTTTCGATTTTGTTGTCAAGATTTTTATTAGTATTTGTTGTATGTAAATTTTTTTTTTTTATATATATAATTTGAAACATGGCTGTTGCGGATATAGACGAGGTCTTGGATCTAATTGGTAAATATATTTATATATCAACTTGATTAGTCACCGATTTCGCCCATAGGATTTGGTCGGATGCAAGTGCTGATGTTCTTAGCCTGCACCTTTGCCAGCATATTCATTGTTAACGAAGTCATAGGCATCAATGTGGTCACTGTAGACGTAGCCTGTGAGTTTTCATTGACCACTATGGAACTTTCAGTGCTGTCCAGTGCAGGCTTTGCCGGCTTAATTTTGGGATCGCATTATTCGGGCTACAAGACGGATCAGATTGGACGGCGCAAGGTGATGATGTATTCCTTATGCATGGCAGTATCATCGTCGATGATTTCAATATTTATGCCTACCTATTATTTATTCACGCTGTTGAGATTCATGACCGGTTTGTTGTGGGTACGCCCCTACTTTTCATCTGGCTAATACTCTAGCAATGGCTACCCTCTGCTCCACAGCATCTCCGGTGCCAGCATCAATAACATTACGTATATGTCGGAGTATACCAAAGTCAAATTTCGCGCTTCGGCCATCAACTTTATGTGCTACGCCTTCGCAGTCAGTGCCATTTATGTGCCACGTAAGTAGCGTCTCTTCTGCTTCCTCTCTCTTGGCTTCCTGGTCTTCACTAAGCCAGAGACTCTCCTCAGTTGTAGCTTATATGTTGACGCCAATGAATCGTGTATTGTTTACCATGTACAAGTTGGATTGGCAAGTTTGGCGTCTTATTGTGTTTATTAATATGACTCCTGGAATTGTATCCATTATCCTCTTGGCGACTCTACCGGAATCGGCCAAATTTTTAATATACATCGGGCAGGATGAACGGGCCTATGAGATCGTCAATCGCCTCTACAAATTAAAGCGAAAGCAGGACTTGACCAGCGTCGGCATCACAGGCGTTTATGATCCCGACTCTCCCCCATTTGACGAAGATCATACCAATTGTTGCGTCAAAATCTGGAGGGGCACGGCGCCACTGTTCCGGCTGCCTCTTGTGGGCAATTTCATGATCTGCACCTTCATTCTCTGTGGCTACTTATTCGTGTGAGTTTGTGTCTTCATAAGTACGTCTGTGCCAAATGTAGTTTGTCCACTCTCTTCTTCATTAGGGGCAGTGCAATTTCGTTGTGGTTCATGGAGCTGCGTCAGTTGATGGGCACCAAGCAGATGACCGTCTGTGATATGTTGCAGGAAAAATCATCGAATATTATGAAGGCCGAACGGGTTTGTCCATCAAAGACATCCAACTTCATCGACTCTGCTGTTTTGGGTGGCACTTTTCTTGGGTGTAGCATTGCGGTCAGCATATGTTTGATATTTATGCGACATTTTCAAATTCTATTCTTGTATACGGTTCTCGCAACTATATGCGGTCTATGCCTCAATTTTCTGGTGGATACGGTGCCCATTTTGGTGGCCACGGCGCTGTTCACTACGCTCTGCACCAGCTGCATTCCGTTGATTTCATCCGTTATACTTGATCTAATGCCGACGCACATCAGGTGATTGAAATTACAGTGCCTCAACTGTATGTAATTTATATTCATTTACATAAACTATATATTCACAGGGGCATGGCTATCAGCATGAGCTTTTTATTTGCGCGCGTCTCGGTCATTTTGGCGAATGTTCTAATGGGCTTTTGCATGGTTCCCTATTGCTTGCTAACATTTAATTTGTTTGTGTTGGTTACATTGGGTAAGTTATCAGCGGTTCGAGTACTGGATTTTTGCATACGAAGAGAATTTCCCTTTTGCCCTACAGTGGTGTCGATATTAACATGTGCGCTGCGCAAATCGTAGGCTGGAACACTGGCGCCATCTATCGTTCAACTTTCGCGAAGAAGGGTTCACTTGCATTAGCTCATATGTATATTACTTTAAATGTTATACTGTAAATGTACGCTTCTCAATAGTAAATCAGAATAAGAATACATCATTGCTCAAATAAGTATTGTTTGTTTATTGAAACTCAATTTGATATACATATTGTTGTGGGTGTTGTTCTTCATTTTGGTTTTTGGTTATGCTACAGTTAGTAATAATAATATTTGTATATATGTATATATGTATGTACGTTCATATTGTTCACATCGGTCTATAGGTAGGTATGTATATATATTTATATTTTATTAAATAGTTTAATGCCAGTATTTACTAATTTTAACAAAGTTTTCCTTTTAATATTCGTAAGCCATGCTACACACACTCTGCACTTTTAAAGCGCTATCCTTAATCTTTGCTAATCCTTGTCCTCAACGCTTCACGTTGATATGGTGTTATTTTTACAGTGTTTTCTTTATTTCTCTTGGTTTTCTAGTTTTTTTGTTTTTTTTTTCCGAGTACAATTACAATTTGCAACGAGTAAAAGTAGTAATAGTATTTAAGGTACAGACCGTACAAAGTTGATCAAATAGACTTAAGTTTCAGTTACAGCAATAGTTAGTATTAAGATACCTAAGTTTAGCTGAAAATATCTTAAAGCTTTTACAGCCATTATAGAAAATAGAGTTCTAACAATGATTACAATAGAGATTTCTCAAAGCACAACCAATTTTTAGTTTTCGTTTCATATCATTTCGTTTTGTTGCTCTCACGCCATTTAGCAACAATCATTTGGTTTTTCTAGTTAATATTTATGGAAAAGATTCTTCGATCAACAGCCAAAAGTGTGAAGAGTTATTCAACTGAAATGTTTTTCTTCTCTTTTCCCCATTAAGGTTTTACCCTGACTACCCTGGACAAATTACTTGCCTATACAGATGTATATGGCCTTTCATCTCTGCTCTTAAGCCGTTGCACATTGACAAATGGAAATTTCTTAATCTAAGCTTCAAGAGGGTTTTCCGAAAATAACAATATCTAAGAAATACTTAGGAGTAGCGCTATATATTTTATTCTGTTTGTTTCATACCACTTGAAATTGTTTGAAGTCCTTTTGCTAACTAACGGTAAAAATATGTCGCAGTTGTAATTACCGTAAAAGGGTATTCATCTGAGGCTTCACAGTTAATTAGTAGATAGTAAAAAGTTTTAGTTTAAGTGTACTCTAGTTTTAGTATTTATAATATGACACCAGTATATGCTAGAAAGTAAATACATATATGTATTTTAACACTTTAATTTTCTATACTTTTTTTCTCTCTTTTTTTTTTTTTGTATATTTGCCAAGTTTGAAACTCCAAGTTGAACATTGTGATGTTGCTTACAAGTTCACAAAAAAAGGAAATTAAATTTGTATATTTATTATATTTTTGCAACTTTAGTTTTGGTTTTTTTGCTTTTTAGCCAAGTTATTCATTACAAGAGATTGTCCTGTCGAAAGTCGAATTTCAGTTATGGAAGTTTAGAAATAGGAGGAAGTTGGGGGATTCGATCAAAGCAAAAAGCTCTTCAGCTGTCGCGTTGCGCCTACCACACAGACTACCGAAAAAATGACTACAGTAAATTCGTCTTAATCACGCTTTAGTCGCACTCGCACACACTCACACACACGCACACGCATACACATGCACAAGTAGATTGTCATATTAATTTAGTTGTTTGTTTTCATCAATTGATATCATTTGCTTTTTTTTTGTATTTTGTTTCTGCTTCTTCTGTACACTGAGAAAGTTATAGCTTTTGATTTGTTGAAACCTTTGCGGGTTTACATACGTAGTAGACTATGGCTCAAGGAATTTCAACTGTTTCGCCTCTGCGACTCACAAAGTGGTTAATTAGCGCAACGTTTAGCAAACATCTAGTTGATATATTATGTTATATAAATATATATATATTCGTTAATATATAATGTGTACTATAGTTAGTGCAATACGCCTTCGATTTACTTGCCAATTCGTTGACTTGCCTTAACGATTTTATTGTTTTTCATTTGCAATTAGTTTATTGGATTCTCCTCTCTCTCTCCCTATGCACACAACATTCACAAACACAACAACAACAAGCAAAAAATATATATATGTATTTATGTATATATTTTCTTTTTGTATTCTATTTTCTGTTCTGGTACTCTCGATTCTCAATTATTGTGCTGCGAACGGTTTGCCATAGTGCTGCCTTACTGTACCTAACTGTACTTACAAAGCTCTCACCCCATATACACAACTCGAAAACATCCAAAAACGCTGTCAAGCTCATTTAACTACTATAACTATTTGGGAAGGGGGCATACAATAAATATCTATATATATATGTATGTATATATCTGGGGACTTTTGGTGCTTGCTTTGGATTAAAAGTTTGATTAAACAACAAATGTTTGATTGGCCAGCTTAAATACTAACAAATTGAGCTTTAACTTTAAGCAGTAGCATATCATTAAATATTGGTGTTATGCATTTCGTTTTTATTGTTTCTGTTGTCGCTCGCATTCGCGTGTTCGGTCAAGGAGAATTATCCGAATCGGAGCCGCCATAGCTGTGCATCGGGAATAGCGGATACCAGCCAGTGATATGCTGTCCTATGTTCACTTTGTCCAGATTCACCTCCGTGCCGCCCAGGCCCTGATTGTGCTCGAAGCCCACGCAGCGCTGCCAAACCATGATGACTATATTCCGGCCAAAGACATCAGCGCTCTATATGTGTGTGTGTGTGAAAATAAAATTTATTTGCATATAAATTGCATTAATGCCACTCAGCGTAATTACTGGAAAATACACATATAAATAAAAAATATAAATGCAGCAGTGCTATTTGCATGATTTCCTATACTTGTTTTACACTGCAACAAATAGGGTATATTGATTATATTTATTGACTGGCATAGAGTACCTATAATATTTATAGATTTTCCCAATCAAACTCTATCATTGTTCCGTATATTATTAGTATTATTTGCTATCTTTTTTTTTTTAAGTATAAATAGAGTATTTCGCACTGCATTGCAGCCGATGCTTTCAGCCTATACAACCACCTGTTCATTGTAATCGCCCATGCACACACACGCATCCACTGCCCGAACAGCTCACTGCGGAATCTGCTGCAAATTGGCCGCCATTAATCGCATTAAAATTCAACGGGGAACAGCAGCTACCGCAAGCCGACATTACGTTGCCGGTCATTGACGCGCTTAAGGCCATTTGAGGCATCATCGTGGGCCCGTTTGCTCACCTGGTATTTGATAGTCTGCTTGTAGAATGGCTCTGCGGAGTGCCGCACTACGCGCGTTTTCTTCTTGTGCCGCAAACGCTCGCCATCCTTGATGTAGCACTTGACATAGGTATCCGGCGGCGTCTCGCAGTCGGCGTTCACAATATTCCGTGCGCAAATTAGCTGTTGAAAAGGGGAAGAAGAAGTCATTGATGAACTGATGTACATAAATATAGATAGGCTCATATGCGAGGGTAGTCTGAAAAATTGCTTGCCCAACAAACGATGAATAATACTGTAAAGTAATTATATGTATTTTAGGTCCCTCGCTTATCATTTCTTATATTTATATATACTTTATATTGGTAATTGTATTCCTTAGCGGCACTTACCTCCACCTCGACATTGCCTTTGATTTTGACAAAGCCCATTTTAAGCTCGCCGTAGCGCGCCGTGGTCAGCCGATAGCCCTTGGGATGTATCTGGGAGGGGCCGAGCTTGAGTCCGTAGCTCGACTCGCTGCCCGTGATGGCCGAGACGTTGACATAGCTGCCGCTCAGGGTTTTCACCACGCTCTGCTTCCTCTGCGGACTGTCGCCGCTGTCTGTGCTGGGGCGCTGATAGACGCTGCCCTTGCGTTGGGGACTGTCGCCGCTCTCTGTGCTGGTGCGCTGATAGACGCTGCCCTTGCGCGTGGGCGTGCCCATGGGGGGCGTTTCACTGGACGATGGCACATAGACGCTGCCCTTGCGCTGCAGCGACTGCGATTGGGATTGTGCGGCGTGCGCGTCGCCCAATTGAAACATGCTGCCCTTACGCTGCTGCTGCTGCAGCTGTGCAGCGCTGAGCGTGTCCTGACCACGCAAATTGACCATGCTGCCCTTGCGTAGCGTCTGCTGCTGACTGGCATCGCCCAGGCCGCTGCCGAGCAACTGGCCCTGCTTATCTTGCGCCACATTCGAGGCGGAGGCGGCCTGCTTTAGCCTGGACAATGCCTGCTTGGCGCTCTGCGGCGGCAGATGTGTGCCCGAGCCCTTCCAGCGGGGTCTGAAGCGTTTATCTTCATCATCGGACGGTGGACTGGTCTCGGTGGTGCCAATGCCAACTGGCAGATGTTGCTGCTGCAACTGCAACTGTTGCAGCTGTAGCTGTTGGAGCTGCTGCTGCTGCTGCTGCGACAGATCCAGTATGGAGCTCTTGCGGCTATTGGGACCACTGGGCAGGCCGACACGGCTGGCACCTGCGAAGGTGATCAAATTAATGCGATTCGGCCGTGACATGCACTGAAGCTCGCTCAACTGAATGAAACTTCAACTCAAGGTACTCAAGGCTTACTGGACGAAATATGAAGATGGGTATATGGTCTACGGCTAAGCTCTAAACTCTAAGGTCTAAAAGAGGAGAAAAGCTTTATGCTAAGACAAAACAAACATGCAAATAAACAGGTAACGGTTAAACAGTGCGTATGCTTGATATTATTTACGGAGACATTTATGCATCCAGAGTGTACGTGAATTTCTGTGTTGTATGAGAAGCATTTGTGTGCATCTCCAAGCCTCTCATTGATTATATTTAGATAACGTGACAACTGTTTTTGTCACACATCCGTTTCGGCTCTAGGCCCAAACTGTCAAAAAATTTCGTTTCGTTCTTAAAGTAGGTATGTTTTATTAATGTGATCAATTCCAAAATGGTCGAATACTCTATTGACGATGCATTAAACATTATTGGTAAGCCCATTGAAGTATTTCAGTCCGGCTGCCAATGCCAACGAATTTGCCATCCATCCATGCACAACAGGCTTTGGACGCTTGCAGTACCTTGTATTTTTCGGCTGTTTTACACAACAGATGTTCATAAGCAACGAACAGTTTGGCATTTCGCTGGTGATTGTTGCCGCTAGCTGCGATTATTATGTGGATGAGCATCGCATGTCCTGGCTAATGGTCGCCACGTTTGCGGCCCAGGCCTGCAGCAGTCACTTTATGGGCTACCAGGCGGATAAAATTGGACGTCGAAAGCTGATGCTCATCGCCTCCATGTCGTGCATGACGGCATCGTTTATATCGTCTCTGATGCCAGAATTTTGGTCATTTTTGGTGATGCGCTTCGTAATGGGTATCTTGTAAGTCTGGCGATTGCTGTTTTTATCAATTCAATTGTTTTGTCGCCACAGTGTACCAGGTCCTGGCATGGCAGTGCTAACGTACTTGAGTGAGTTCACCAAGTTCAGTCTGCGCCCGAAGGTGATCAACTTTCTATACTATGCCATCGGTGTCAGCTTAATGTATATGGCAGGTAAGCAAGGTAAGTTTCATCAATAGATGTCCGCTCTGTCGATTTCTACACTCAGCTTGGGCCGTGTTGATGCTACCGCTAGATATACGTGTGAAGGTGCACAAGAACTATGCGATTACCAGCTGGCGTATCCTCATGTGGCTCCAATTGGTGCCCGGCATTGTCTCCTGCATCATATTGTCCTGTACGCCAGAGAGTCCCAAGTACTATCTGTCGGTCGGGAAGCCGGACAAAGCGTATGCCGTTCTGGAGAAATGCTGTCGCTCCAGCAAGGGCAAGGATGTGACGCTGAAGAGTCTGGGTATCGACTCGCTAAAGCCCCCAGAAACAGTTGCGTTGGAAACCACGAAGACGTGAGTGCCTCTGCACTACAATTGCTTTTCTCTTGTTCCTCTCAATGCTAATCTCCTTGAATTGCATATTATTCTCAGGGGATGTGCACGGATCTGGGAGGAAACAAAACCCATATTCACGCCACCCATTTTGAAGCCAATGATGCTCATTACGTTTACTCTCTTTCTGCTGTTTGGCACGTGGGTAACTGGTTGCATATCCTATCCGATCACATCACACACCTGCTATGCGTTAACCATTTGATATGTGATCTCTTATGTGTACTCTTTACATTGCACAGGGGCTTTGGTCTAACGGTTTGGATACCGCGCGCTGTCAAAATGGGAAATGACCTTCACAAGGATTTGATACTCTGCGATATGATAGACGAGGCGCACCGTGCGAACATCACCTTTACCGAGTCAGCAGTTTGGTTTCGATTTGTGATCACGTGATTGTTCAGCTTTACTAATGCCTAATTTACAGTGTCATTTGAGCATGAGAACCTTGGAGGCATCTCTTTACCTTGGCACTTGCGCTATACTCTTCTCAGTACTGATTACATTGCTGTTCATTTGGACTCATCGGCAGGTCATTCTGTTGTTGTTCGCGTCGTTCAGCGTTGCGGGTGGCCTCATGCTCAATTTTGTCAAGCTACACGAGTTGGTCATCATAGGCCTTGTGCTCCTAACGGTGCCCGCTTTGTGTAGCATAAGATTGTCTCTGTCGGTGCTCATTGATGCAATACCAACACACTTAAGGTTAGTCAAGATCTTCTTAAGATCTAGATCTAGATCTTAAGAACTCACAAAGTCCATTCCCCCACACGCAGAAGCAAGGCTGTATCCCTGTCCACGATGTTTGGCCGCGTGGGAGTCCTGGTTGCCAGCATGTATGTGGGATATACGTTGAGCTGGAACTGCTTTGTTACATTCAATATGTTCGTATTGTGTATGACAGGTAAGTGAAGGAAGGAAGTGCAAGTGCTGCATACGTCTAATATATGACTGTCCCTTAATTACGATTTAGCTGTGATTCTGCTCGTTAGCTTTCTGCCCTTTGACGGAAAGACTGGCTCTCGCACAGTGCTATGATGCAACTGTTTTGAAAGTAATCGAAATATATATACAGATTTCATACATACATTCATCATTCATCAGTCAGTCAATCAATTATTCAATCAGCAGTGAATGTGACAAAAGGGATTATGGAAAAAGTTTGGAGTTTTTTATGACATTCATTACAAATAAAATTATATGTAAGGCAAAACTTTTTGGCAGGTGTTGAGAGACAAATTCCAGTCAAGTCGCAAAAGGAAACCAAAAATTGATCGTGGATCGAAAGGAGCGAAACTTTTTAATATACTTTTTAAATAAAAACACTTCTTTTCCATTCAATTTTTTGCAGCTCTGCTTTCTGCTGTTGCGTGACATCAGCCCACAAATATTTTCCATGGGTCTTAATTTGCGGCAGCCATTGTAGATTTCCATATTTAACGGCCCGTTTGTGGTTCTTGGGGCAGTCGGCCCGCCGCCCGCTGCGTTGTCTCCCCTTTTTCTTTCACTTTACTTCTCATTTCTTATTTTTGTTCAGTTCGGCCTTATATGGCTTTTCATATTTTGCGTGTCGTTGGTTTTTTGCTTTTTCTTATTTTATTTAAACTTAATTTCAAGGCTGAGCTATTTTTTCGGGGACTGCCGAAGGGTTTATGGCAGGCATCAAGGAGTTGTCTCTGGTGCTCAGGTAATGGGACGTGGCAACTCGCCGCATGGACGTGAGTGTATGTGAGCGAGTGTCTGTGTGTCTGTGTGTGTGTGTGGCTTTGCATTTTAAATAAAATTTGTTTGAGGCTGCTTTGTTGCTTGGCGCAAATAACAGCAATAAGCTGAATTAAGCTCAACCAAATGATGGCATCAAAAGTTTTCACGAGTCCTGGGACTTGACTTATCCGCTTCGTTTTTTATGCGCGCGCAACACAGGCATAACACAGCTGTGTGTGGGTGTGTGTGTGTGTGTGGCCTTATAATATGTGCGGGGAAGAGTTTAAGGTGGCTCTTAAGCTCAGGCAGCGTGCACTGGTTAATGGTGTGTGTGCGTCGTAAGTGTGTGTTAATTAAGTGGCATGCAGCTAGAGTATTCAACGGAGAAATTCCTGAAAGTCCTTTCCCAAATAAACCAGACTCAGGCACTAGTCAGGCAAGCAAAATATGTAGAAAAAACAAAAACACAAACAAAAACAACAAAAAATTGCAACTCAAAACTGAAACTCTGAACGAAAGTTCATTTTGCATTCTTACCAGTGGGTGAGTTGGTGGTTTTAGTGTGTTTAAATACTTTTGCTTTGCATTGCTGTTGTTGTTTGTATTGGTTTATAAATATATACATATATATCTATCGAGTATATACATACATATATACTTTGTTTGGCAATAACATAAACAATTATGCTGGCAAGCTCAATTTGCTGTGTGGTTTTTGCAATGTGTCTTGTATAATTTACATAAAGATTGTTGCACAAATTATGTTTGAGATTATTATTTGGTTTCTTGCTGTTGCTGTGGTTTTCTGGCCAAGTTCGTTAACTGAATTATTTGCCGTGCAAAAAGTGTGATCTTAAGTAGGAGCATATTAGTGTAGTTAGTTGGGAGCGTTTGAGTTTAAGCTTGACAACGGAGTTTTAGTGAGATAAATTCTTTAAAAACTTGCTTGCATTATTTATATAGTCATTGGAAGTTAGTGGGATTTATTATTTATTTGCTTAGTTAGTTAAATATTGTGTGATATGGTTTATCTTTTCGTGTTTGTCCAGCTAGTGTAGGGTGTGTCAAAGCTTTGATAATGCGACACCGATATTGTGGCTAATAGTGAGAAAGATATGGGAGAGCAAAGAAATTAGATAGACACTTGTGAATAGAGGCAAATGCAAAATAGAGAGAGAGAGAGAGTTATATATATATGTAAAGATATAGTTGTAGTAGTAGTACATATGTATAGTTGCGTGAGAGTGAGCCAGAAAGTAAGACCAGACACACAGCAAGGCAGTTTCATAGAGTGTGAAAGGAGGAGAAGGCACAGAGGGTGTTAGGGAGACAGCGGGGTATCATAACAGCTCTAGAGAGTTAGCTTAGTTTGTTTAGTTGGGCTAGGGGCACACTTGTTCTTTGTTTTCTTCTGAAATATGAAATCACAATAGCTGCTTTCCATACTCAGCTGAAAAGTAAAGAGTTACACTAGGCTACCAGGGAGCCGATACTCACGTCTTGAGCCCATGCGCTTGGGCTGTTCGGTGTTCAGGCTCATGGTGCGTCCCAGCTCGCCGCGTACAGCCTTTAAGGACTTCATGATCTCATCCGGATCGCGTCGTGCCACTGAGGAGCGACGCCGGCCCACAAGATAGGATGTGGGCGGCGTGGCCATGGCATCCTCTTCCAGCCGATTCTTTTCGGCATCCTGAAAGCTGGAACGACGCGAGCCCGGCAATGAGCGCGAGAAGTCCTTACCCAGCTGATACACCTCCACCTCCATCGTCTCCGATTGCGATGAGCCGCGTCGCGAGCCCGCTATCCAAGCATGATCTGGATGAAGCAAAGACGCACCATCCCCAATCGAATCCACATCATCCGACATCGAGCGCTGTGTATTGTAGTCCCGACGGATCAGACGTGACACATCGCCGCAATGTGCGCCAGCAATGGAGCCGCGTGGCGACACGCTGGGCGACTTGCTGATGCTGATGCCGCGCAGCCCCTTGGGATCCTCCAGACGGCACCAGATGGCCTGGTCATCGAGAAACGCCTGCTGCAACTCAATGTTGCACTCGCCCAGAAATATGGACTCTGTGTGCGGCACCAGATCCCACAGCTGTATATCTATGTAGCGATCCATCAAGCTGTCGGCCTTCACATGTGCGAAGGTTAGTGTTGCATTCCAAATGGGATTCTGAGTGGGTCGGCTGACCTCCGTTTGCTGCACGCTGCCATCGCCGCTGCAGCAGCGAGAGAAAATAGAAATAGAGTTTGGGTTAAAGTGAACGAATAATAGATATCAGAAGTTTGCAATATATCGTTTAAGTCTAGCTGTTGAGCTGTCCAGCTGTCCAGCTGTCCAACTCCACACTCACCACTTGGGCAGAATCCGAACTTTGGCGTACGCCTCCGGCAGATTGCCATGCCCATATGCCTCATCGCGCAGCGCCAGATCATCGGCAGCCATTAGGGACACGACCAGCTCGCTGCGCTCCGCATGATACCAAACCTGTATTTGCACCCGGCCGCTGACCATTTTCTCCCGGGCAATTTGCTCCTGCGGTTGAGAGAAGGATTAGTACTGAAAGCCGTTCACGACAGGGCTAACAACTCGAAGCATGTGTTGTGGCTGCGCTGTACAAGTTTCGTTTTAGCTTAATAGCTAGTTAGTTAGTTAGCTGATTAAATTAGCCTAATGCCTACATATGTAACGCATTGAATCTTTTATCTTTAGTTTATAGTTCGAATCGCATATTTACAGTTGCTTGATTGTGTGGCTGTGACTGTTCTTTGTTGTTGGTTGTGGTTGTTGTTGTGGTGGTGTTGGTGTTGGTGGTTCGTGTGTACGTAACTGAACAACAAATGAAAGCAATATAAACACAAATAAGTCTAATTAAACCAGTGAAAATAAGGCGAGACACAGAGAGTTATATATGTTAATATATATATATAATAAAAACAGAGCAAGATGAAGAGAAACAGAAAGAGATAGTGTATAACAAAATGCAAGGCATGCGAATAAACATGGCAAACGAAAATGCATTGCAGAGCCACAGGCAGTGCACATACATATATACATATACACGGATGCATATGCGCATGCATAGTTACATGTAAATGATGCTTAAATAAGCGCACATTATGGCACACACATGAGCACACATACACGCAGATCTATTTGTATTTACATTGACCACACGAAGTACCGCAAATGCAATCTGCTGCGGGCACTGTCTAGTGTTGTATTTTTTTGCCCTATCCTGTTAAGCTCTCTGAAACGGAAGTCATTGCTGCGCAGTTGCGCATAAGAGTTATTGTTGCCATTGCTGTTGTTGTTGCTGTTGTTGTTGGTATAGTGTTGTGTTTATTATACTTTTGCTTGTGTTGAAAATAGCGCAGCCTCATAAAATATTCATAGCGTGTACATGCGCACAGTCGCAGCAAAAGCAACAACAACAGCAGCAACAACGATGGCAGCTGAAACGAATGTCGAACTGCCTGGCGTACAGAGCTCTGCAATTGCAACGGAAGCCGCCATATTGCAATAACGTGTGTCAAAACGGAAATAGACCACACACACACACTCACGTATATGCATAACTGTTGCTCGGTATGCGTGCGTGTGTGTGTGGCAACTCTTTATGGCAGCGCCAAAAAGTTTATTACATTACGAGACACATTTCTCATCTGTTGGCGCGAACGAAATCGAATTCAGAAGGGGCGTTTATAAGGCGGCAGCGCGCACTTATCTACAGGTAAGCAGCACACCCACACACATGCACAGGGCCCGGATTATTGAAGTTGATCAAAATGGCAGGCTGGTTGGCAGCGATAAGTGCCTAAACACTTGAAAAACTTTGAGGCAGACGACTGACAGTGGATTGAAAGGGACAGTGGAGGTGGGGCTGGTTGCCTTTCAAAGGCAAGACCGATAATAATGACGACGCTGCTGCCTGAATTGTTGTTAAAAGTTTTCTAATTTTCGACATTTCAAACATTTTATGCCTGCCAGCTGTCAATTAAAGGCGACAGCACCTGTTGCTGACAGCGCCAGGGCCTAAAACAAGGTCTCCGGACAGCCCCCCGGCCAGCTACGGCACCAAGCACGGTGTGGCAAAAGTCAACTGTTGCCTGGTCGTTGGGCGTAATGAAAAACTCGCACGCCAACTTGACACCTGCCCCGGACGTAGAGACTGGCACAGAGACACATGCAGAGGCAAACAGACAGACAGAGAGAGAGAGAGAGAGAGAGAGAGAGAGAGAGAGGAAAAGAGACATAGACAGTGTCTCAAAGTTGTAGCGCCTAAACCGCAGCTAGGCGAAGGCCTGTGGTTGCTTTCGTCAACCTTGCTCCTTCCACTCTCTCTCCTGCTCAAGGTGGGTCCAACTGCTGCTTGTGCGTGTCGCAAAGTAACTAAAATTGATAGTAATTTCTGGGTGTACGCTGCGTATGAATAATATATGCAGTGCAGACAAGCAAAACGTAACACATTCAACAGACACACGATTAAATATGTGAATTTAGGGAAACAAATGCGATTTTATGTGAGTTAGCAGCGTGCACTGAAATATACATGTATATAAATAAAAGTCACATCAATATTTAATTAGCTACACACAACATACGCTTAGAAGGAGAGAGAGATAGAGAGAGTCGCTCCCCTTGACGTTTACACTCACATACATACACATATGCATATATATTTATAAGTACATGTATATGTCCTTGTTTATGTATATATCTAAGCCGGTACATGTAATATTAACACTCGATTCATTATGTTTGTTTAAGGGTCCCCTATATGCATATGTCAATGAAATCGTTACATTCAATAAATGAATCAATCAATCATAAAGTCAGGCGAGAAACAGCATCAGCTCATCAATCAATCAATCAAATTGATGACACTAATTTTATCTCCTGCTTCGGCTTCGGCTTCGGCTTCTGCTCTGTTTCTGCTTCTGCTTCTGTTGTTATAAAACATGTGTTTTGTATTTGATTTCTCTGTTTTTCTTTGTTCTCTTTAAATGTTATTTTTGTCATCGGTAATTTTTTTTGGATATAAGTACTGCAAGTATTTTGTTTGTGGCAAAACTCAGGTGATTTAATTTTAGTTTTTAGCTTTTAGTTGCTGCATTTTGCTGCAGTTTCGATTTAGTTACGATTAGTTTATATCGATTGCCATAACTCGTGCCAGCTGGGGTTACAATTGTTGTACAGGTGGAAATGAAAATGTTTAGCTCATATACAATTTGGTAGTAGGATTTCGTTTATCAAATAAATATATATATGCAAATATATATACGTATTCATTTATATAGTTTTATAGTTAAATGCATTTGTATTAGTTGCAAGTTGTTTAAAGAAATGCTAGTCGGTTTAAGATTAAAGATCCACTAGATGCTAGTCAAACAAATTGTTGGTAGGCTTTGCGGTACATCTTATGCAAAATAAGCAAAATGCAATTAAGTAAAAGAAATACTCGGAAAGAAGGTAAAGGAAATTAAACAAATTTTACAAAATCACTAAAGAAAATCAAGGTTGATCAAGTTCAAATTGTTTTGTGTGTGGTTTGTTGTTCTTTGTGAATCTTCTGCCAAGCGACCCTCTGTGGTATAAGCAGCTAACACTAATACAGATCTCAGGCTGTCCTCTTCCAACTAGTGAGTATATTACAATAAATGTTCCTTGTATTTAAATACATAGATATATTTTTATATAAATTACGATTCCTTACATACAACCAAAGAAATCAAATCATATAAATCAATAAATCATAGTAAAATGCATTAGTTTAGTTGTATTTACTGCAAGGTGTGTGGATAGTATATTACAAGGTTTCGCTTTGTTTGGACGTTATGCAACACTATGTACGAGTACAAGTTGAAGAGCAAGAGAGACGGAAAGACAAAGACAGAGTGAGAGATGAGGGGTCATTAAAGAGTCAAGAATTATGCATAAACCGAAAGAAAAGGAAACGTCGGGCAGGGATAGGTAAACATTTGCTAAGCGAAACGCAAACAAAAGCTCATAAATTGACAGAGAAATGGAAATTGTTTACAAGGACACAGCGCAGAGAAAAATACAGGGCGTATACGTAACAATAACAAAGAAAATTTTTATATATGAACTAAAACAGACGAAACGAAACGAAACTTCAAAAGCAAAATCATAAAGAAAAGCGCACGTTTCATTATTATTATTGTTATTTTGTTTGTTTGCTTTTTTTTGGGTGGGCATTACAATATGTAAGTACAACTTATAGAACCTAGCTATATTACACTGGATATATTAATATTTCAAAAGGATTTTTCTAGCGGTTTATTGAACGTGCTAGATCTGTACAGGGTATATTTATATATACATATATATATATATATATATGTATATATATATATATATGTATATAATGGGTATGTTGGTATATATATATTGTTGTATGGGATGCTTCATTTACATATTAGGTATTGATAGAGTTGCTTTGTTCATTTACCATTTGGTGGACATCGTAATGGTGGGGTGCATCGCTGCTGACTTGCGGCTGACAGGAAGCTGACAAACTGCTGCATACAAAAGTAATAAATCGACTTTCCCGGCAAATAGTTTTCGGTTTTTTGGACTTGCAGTTAATATAGAGAGACTTTATTTTTCACGTTTCTTTTAGTTTTCAAATATTTAGCACATTGGTACGTGTTAAATGTTCAAAATAACTGGGTGTATATAGATATCGTATAGAATTGTAAAGTTATGTATACATGGGTATATATATATATATATTCATGTATATATATATGTATGTATAATATAGTTTTTCGTGGGTGTAAAGATAAGCGACTGACTTTCTTAAAATGTGATTCGATTTCCTGCCAGCGGCTGTTGTTGTGTGACTCCGTCCGGACGTCGTCTATGTTTCACCCTTTTTGCTTTTTAAATATTTAACATATACATACATAAAAAAATGTCAATGCAACAACTTGCGCCACAAATACAATTACAGTCATCAGTTTTCATAATTCTCATATAATAATTCCATAGAGTTTCATTTTGTTGGATTGTACTTAAGTCAATAGCTGGGGGGAAGTAGTACATAATAATGTTACATATTGTATATAAGTACATATGTACATATGCTTGCGTGTAGTTCAACGAGTTGTATAAGGACTATAAATACATAGGTACAGTTATATATATATATATATATTTAGCTTATTCAAGTATAAGTGTGAGAGTGTGGGTGTGAGTGTGAGTGTGTAGGCTATACACAGTGTAGTTTACAATCAAATCAAAGATCAATTTTATCACCCATCTGACAGGAGTTACATAGCTAAGCAGCAGCTTTAGTTAACGGTATTTAAGTAAGTTTCCATCATGAAATGATTTATGTATCATTTAGCACTTTGTTATTGTGTGTTCATCATATAAGTATAAGTAGGTGGGCTTCACGATCGAATGAGAATATATATATAGTTATATATATTAATATATATATATGTATAATCGTGCTTTCTCCAAAATATTATTCATGTTAAACATTTACAAACACAGCACTAACAATGACATACACAAATACAAATGCGTATAGGTGTCGATATAGGCGTATGTACTATATGCATATATATATATACATAGTTATGTATATATATACTAATATACATACAAGTTATGATTGGGTCCAAATAAGGTGTACATCTCTCGTATATATATATATTCATATAATGCACCACATAAGGAGGTTGGGTTAATTTTGTTTTCGCTTTTGGTTAAAAAACATTTAAACATTTCAACAACAAGCTACTTATTAATTGTTTTTGTTTTTTGTTTCTTTTCGCACATTTTCTTTTTGCTACTTATATAAAGTTAATAACATTTAAAACACACTCATATATATTTATGTATATATATAAATACTATATAGTTAAACTCTGCTACAATTTTCACTAGTAACATTTATAAAGTTTTTGTTTGTTTTGTTTTGGCATTTGTATTTGTTTTTATTTGTCTATATAAATAGTTCTATAATAAGTTACCGCACGGCTGCAGCCACTCATTTAGCCTGGCCCAAACTCAGCTCAGCTGTTTCATAATCCTCAGTAGTGAATATATATATTCTTGTATTTATTGTATCGATTTGCAGAGCCTAGTTTAATGCTACTACACAAGCTGCGTATATAGGAAAATGTTTTCAATTTCAATTTTTTGTTATTAAAAATTCGTTACCGTCTCCTACACGGGGGTCAGCAGACAAGTACGATGACACGACTAACAATTATGTAAAACTTTTATGTTCAGCTTATAAATCTATTGTTGGTGCTTTGTTCTTACTGTGTTTTAATCGGGCAATTCGATTGCCCAAGAGAAATTTCAACTAACACAAAAACACACACAATTGTCGAGTAACGGATATTAGGTGCTATATAGCTAGCGCATATCGAAACTTGTTGTATTAGTATTAGTTTTGAGCATTCATAGCTAAGCTAATTCATTTAGTTAGTTTATAGTAACCTTAAGCGTAGTCACTGCTATTTCTAGTTAAGTTCTTGACATACATACGTAGTTGTATTTGGGTTTGTTTTGTTTTTGTATCTCTGGTTTTTTCTGATCATATTTTTGTTTTGTTTAGTTCACTAACAATAATTTCTACCAACACCGAAAAATAAATATGATATAATTGTTGTGATTATATGACAAAATAGCAAAGAATACATTTAGCCATGGCCATTTGTTTATGGTTAGTTAGTGGTAGTAGTAATATTAAGAGTTCAAATAAATGTTATTCAACGTATATCGAAACGTAAAACACATAGAAATCAAATTAGAACATATAATATAATATATATATATATATAGATTGTTACTCAATATCCAGCTACTACAAATACAAATCTTGTATTTATAAAACACAATAAAGATAATATCGAAAATTATAAGAGAGCCATTATGGTAAAGTGGACTGAAATAAAGGTGAAAGTTTTATTTATTTATTTTTTAGCACTGAAGCTGCACTGAAATATGCCAAATAATTTTATAGAATTAATTGTGAGCACTTGAAGGAAAAGCTGAAAAATTCGTGTGGAAAACTGCGTATGCTTAAGCTGCATTTTTTTGTTTTTTTTTTTTTTTTTGGTTTGGTTTTTTTTTATAGCTAATTATTGCATTATAGCCCATTGTGTATTATAATTTAAGTATATAAATATTCATTTTTTGTTGTTGTTTCTTTTTCGTGTTTTGTTGTTTATCTCAAATCGTAAATCGCAAATTGAAATAAATATTACGAAATTGTTTTTATACCGGAGTTTTTGGTAATTTCCGTCTAGTTGGCGATGCTGGTGATTTGTCTGTGTTGGTTTCGGGGTCTGTTTTTATTCATTGAACAATCGATTTTAGTTTTTCAGTTTGTTGGAAAAGAAGTAACAAGAAACGAGAACAACAAATGAAAATTATGTAATTATGTTTTGCTTTCAGGGTACATCAATAATAATTATATAATATAATATATACAAATCTGATTACAACAGTGTTGGGACTAGCTACAAGAACTGCATTGGCCTGTCACTTACCCGCTATAAGTCCCAGTCCAATGGGGCCATCGCCGGAGCGCCGCGGTCCGCTCTGGCCGCCACTATTGCCGGGTGGCAGATTCTCGTCGAACAAGTCGCACATGCGAAAATCTGTTGCATGCTCCACCAGCAGCTCCACAATGTCCCCGGTGCGATCCATGATGGAGCAGACCTCCTCAAAGCTGCGATCAATTAGCGACATTCCATTCCACTCGAGTATCTGTTGCATGCCAAAAGAGAAACATAAATCATCCTTTCAGCTATCGTTTGTCAGCATGAGCTTGCCCCAAGTGCAACTGCTGACAGTTGGCAGTTGGGAAATTTATGAATTTCTATCACACTGTTGCCCTTTCGGTCGAAGGCCTCTTGTCAAATTTGCTTATCGGTCGCTTAACATCGTGACAGCTGTCTATCTACTCAAATTTTCCCAAATGTTCTGGGCATTTGCTCAAAAAATTTGACATCATCTTCTGCCTTGTCCTCGTGATTCATTAATTATGTGAAGTTCTGTTGGAATGCGATTTTCGGGAGCCAACTCACCTTGTCGCCCTGCTGTAGGCCATTCTTCTCGGCGGGCCCGCCCGGCACCGTCCAGACAATGTAGGCAAAGAGCCGCCCATCAGCTCCGGTCTTGCCACCGACCACGCGCATCCCAAAGCCTCGAGCTGCGAAGAGAGACAGCAACAAAATTTAATAAGAAAATATGCTGACTGATTATGGGTGGCAAGAACAAAGGCAGCAAAAATAAAGACGAAAATCAATATTAAATCTAAGACTCCGCTCAGACATAGCACGTAGCAACAAATTTGGGGCATGTGGTAAGCAATTTGTGTTGATTTCGTTTGCAGTTTGCACTGCTTGTCCAACACCCATGAGTACATTGCGTATACGCCTCGTCTGTTTGCGTGTTTGTCTGACACCCATGAGCACATTGCGTATATGCCATAGACAAAAGCACTCGAATCGGCAAACAGTTCGACTATTTACTTTTCTAGCTGACTGTCTGTCTGTCTGTCTGTCTGTCTGACTGTCTGTGAGTCTGTGCGTCTGTGTGTCTGCCCGCCTCTGCAGAAGTTTTGTGCTTAGTCGACTTATATTTGAAAGAGATGCTTAGTCCCAATACTATGCTCGATCCAGAGCCTGATGCATAGCTAGCTGAGTTCGACTGCGTTTTATGTTTGTCTGACAAGTTGCAAACCAAAATTGTTTTTAGTTTTGCTTTGTGTGCCCTACACAGGCGAAACAGCTCGTCGGGTACAGCAGCTAGCACTGGCATCGCCACCTGTACGAATTTAGCTTGAAAATAATCATTTTCTAGTCAGCAGCTGCACTCTTCAGATTTCACAGCACGAATCCAAACGATTTAATTAATTTAATTGCAATTCCAGTTTGCTGCTGGCCGGGCACGCAGCAAGTGTGCAGCTCAGTTTCAAGTACTTATCATTGGGCGCAGAAAACTAATTTCAACAATTTGTGCACGAAAACTTACGAAAGCGGATTTCCGCCACCCAAGCCCCGCAGCGCTGCCCTCTAACCAAGCAGCGCACAGCCCGTGGCCAGACAGTTGAACGCTTGCTGCAGACAATTGCCAAGAAAGTTAACTAGCGACTTGCTGAGAGCCAAAGAAATCTGAACGAGGCGGAAGGCGGTTTGTGGGGCAGCGGAGACATTGACAATGAATTTTTGTTCGTCCAAGGTTTTTAGTGACATTTTTGCCTTGCACTTGTGTGTGTGTGTGTGTGTGTCTGTCTGTGGATTTCCAGCAGAATTATTCAGAGCAGGTGGCTCGCTTTTGGAAGAAAAGTTTTCGTACAGGAAATGCCAACAAAGTGCCGTCGCGCACCCTTAGAAGTATGCAATAAAATGTTGCGCATACGCCTCGTTGCTGCTCCGAATGCTGCTGCTGCCTCTCTCGTTGCTGCTGCTGCTGCTGCTGCTGCTGTTGATTTGGAGCACATTGATACCCAATTAGGATAACGCGACATTTTCTCTTTGAGTGTTTTAATCAAAAGTTTTCTTTGCCTCACTTTCATTCTTTTCGCATTCCACATTCCACATTCCTTACTCTTCGTTCTCATCTCTTCGTTAGGTCACTAAACACGGTCATAAAAGCGAAATAAATAAAGCTCAAATCCTTTGCTGTCAGCGCTGCTCTGTCCCACTGACAGCACAAAAGCGAACACCGAAAAGGATGTCAAATTGCGCAGATTATTCATGAGCTGACCGGGCTGATATAAATGTACTCCATGACCGAGCAGTTTTAAGAGACGCGATTTGTTGCTGCCATTTCGAAGTCATTTCAACTGATTTATGGGCGAGCGTGAGGCATAATTGCTAGAAGGGTATCTATTAGTCGTGCATACTCGGCCATTGTGACAGCTGTAAGCTATCCCTGGGCCGCACTTAACATGCACGAAATGTGCGTGCTGAGTGAATTCTCGATCTATTTTGCACAGCCTGGCATCAGTCGTGGCCATAAACGGCGTGGCATTAAAATCATGAGGCGACCCCGGAATGGCCAAGGAGCTGAGCTGAGCTGAACTGGGCTGAGGATGGGTTGCAGGAGCTTTACTCGCTGACGCGCTGCTTGCTTCGGCTATTTTGATATCCTTTGTCTCGTTGTTTGTCTCGCTGCTGCTGCTGCTCCTGCTCCTGCTCCTGCTCCTGCTCCTGCTCCTGCTTGTGCTTCGTGTATATGTGTCATTCATCTACGTTTTATGATACAATTTGTTGATCTTTTATTTTTATTTTCCTTTTTGTTTTCGTATTTTTATGTGGGTAGCATTAGGATTTTAATAAGCCAAACACTGAGCATTGCTGCTGGTAGCTATGGGCTTGTTTATGCCCGGCATTCAGCAACTTTTTATTGTTGGGTCGCCCGCACAGCCCCCGCAACTCCGCCGCCGTCTCCTTGTGCCTCTTACCCGTCGAGGTCACAAACTAATTTCGTATACGCTTAAAAAGTGATCTATGTGCGGTGGCAGTCGTCCTTGTTGCTGCTGCTTTCAACTCAACCTGTTTGAAATTTGTTGCTGGAAACTTTGAAGCGTGTGTTCTGGCAATTGCTTGCCTGGCCGTCCTGAGTCCTGCATTTAATGTCATTAGCTGTGCAAACTTTTAGTTGCCTGGGCAAAGGACTTAATCGATGTACACTCACACACACACACACACAATCGCACGCACACACCCATAGGTGCAGCTGTGGCCCGGGCATGACTAAGCGTTTTAGTGGCTCCTATCAGCAGCCATAAAAATTGATTCTTAATTAAACTAGCACAAGCGCTGAGATGGTGCTGCTAGACAAACGTTGGCCCGGTTAATAACTTGAAGACAAAACTAATAAACAAGTGCGGCGCACGTGTGCAGCCAAGTGCCGCTTTGGAGCACCTGGAACCGTTGAAACACCTGAAACAGCTACACGACAGCCAATTGCTCGTTTATGTCAACAGCTGAACGAGCTGAACGATGGCGGCCACGGGGGTCGCTCTTAAGTAAGCCATGGCTGGAAAAGCCCAGTGCTTAAGAGCACTAAAACTATGAATGACAGCCTCAACTGCAAGCCAGGCCGAGACGAGTCCCCACTCTGGCTACCTGTTGCCCCCCAAAAAACACACAGACCGAAACGAGGCAATCGCACGCAAAGCTTCAAGCCGACTCACTACATTTTCTGTCTGTGTGTGTGTGTGTGTGTGTGTGTGTGGGTGTTTAGGTTTTACGTGATTCGCTGTAATAAATACGTAGCTCATGAGGCTGCATAAAATTTCATTAGCCGTGTTAAGACGCCATTCTAACGCCCACTGGCGTCACATATTGCTCATGTATGTGTATGCTTGTGTATCTCTGTGTGTGTGTGCGTGGCAGTAAAATACTTTAACGAGCTGCATAATTGAAATCGCATTTGGCCATTTACAATTACATTACATTACATTCGCCATCGATTGCGTTTGTAGCACTTGATGTGATGTGATGCGATGTGCTCTTCAGATTAATTAGTCGCCCATCCATTAGCAGCTAATTGCGCAACAGCGCACTCAAATGTGCAGAGCTACTTTAAAGCGGATATGACACTCGTCTATCGCAGCACAGTCAATATATATATATATACATGTATATGTATATCTCTCTCAAGGCAAATTGCAGCACAAGGCGGCAGCACCTGCCACAGGCATCTGAAACAGCCAAAGGCATCGAGTGTGCTGTGCGTGTGCTTGCGGTTAAGCCAAGTATCTAAAGGATATGGTATATAAATATATATATATAGCCTGTACACAAGTATGTGTGTGTGTGTGTATGTAAGCATGACAGCCACAACAAATGCCAGCAGTGGCGCGACAGCGCCTGGCAAGAAAATGGTTTAGCACATTAAAATTCCACTTGCTTCGTTGCATATCAAATATGCCGGGTAAGCAGCCAGGCAGCCAGGCAGCCAACCAGCCGAGCAGCCAGGAGAGCATGCCTAACTCTTGATATGAGCATGCACACACCTACACACACGCAGCTACACACGCACCCACACATTTTTATCATTGCAGGCTGCGCTGATGCGTTTTTGTTGAATATTGACATTTTTTTACGATATGTAAATTGAAATTTTACCTTATAGACATTCTATCTCTCTCTCTATATATAAAAATAAGCCAGGTGCTCGTAGCCTGACAGCTGGCTGACAGGCAGCGGCTAGTTATTTGATTGAAATTATGTGCGCTCGTGAGCATAAGCCTGACTGTCAAACACTTTAAGCCAATTAGGTTTACTTTTCATTTGACTAATTCAGCGTGCTCCACTCGCAGGCAACCAGCGTGCCTGAAGGTGAAAGGCAATCACTTGGCTAGTTAAATAAATGCGCCAAGCTAGCTTCTGTATTGATATACACTATATATATATTTATTTTTACAATTTTATATATATGCTGTTGAGTTGAGTTTCAATTATGTGCGACTAACTGACAAATCGATTTTCAATTTGCCTTCGCATAAACTTTCTACTCAAACTTCTCGGCTTCTGTTGCGTGTATTTTTTGTATTATTAATATTTCTGCCTGCTTCTCGGCAAGTTTTTATATTTTTAATGGAATTGCTGCAACTTTTCATGCTGTCATCACATTTTTTGCCAGCCATTAGCTCATTTTAAAGGCGTCAGCCAAGAGCCCAAGTTTACTTTGGCAGAGTTTAAGTTGAGCCAACTTGCGCAACTGCTAATCAGGCAAACGTTTTAGATAAAACTCGCTGCAGTGTCAAAGTTGTCCACTGCTCATTAAGCTTTTAATAGTTTTTATTTTATAGCCGTTCACCGTTGAATGCAATATCTTTGAGTTCTAATGCGCGAGCACGTTTTTTGCTATTGATTTTTTACTCAGCTGATAATTAAAAATTCATTTGCACGGTCATTTCATGCGCATCGTTTGTCGCTGCCGTCCGCTCCGAGGAATGCAGCAAAAAAATGTGCATATAATTAAAATACAGTGGAGCAAGAGGCAGAGGCAGAGGCTTACATGCGGCACAAATGATGCCATTGGCAATGTGGGCTGACTCTCGTTATACTATACGCTAGTGGGTCGGTGAGCGGGTGTCTATAAATATGTATACTATCGGATGCTCTGCAGCTCTGGCTGAGCCAGAGCCATCTTATGGCCGGGTCGATTATGGCAGCAGCAGTGTCTGTAGTCCTGCATGTCGATAAAGTATGCTCTCGGTTTGCTTAATCTGCTACCCGTTGGCTTCCGCTTTGGGTTTCATTAGGGTCCACAGCAGACTCCAGACTCACACACTCATTATTCTTCAGGCCAGCTCGCATCGCCCGAGCGCTTTGTTTGGGGATTAAGAGAGAGCCGAGAGCGGACAGGAAATGTTGGCGGTACGGTCGAGACCCTTTGGTTGGTCCCCGGTCAGATGGTTGGCTGGTCCGTTGGTCGGTTGGCTGCATTGTCGAATTAGCATAACCAAACGTTGTAATGAGTCTTATTTACTTGGCCATTTCCGGTGTGGCTTGGACCCAGCGCTCTCTTGTCAAATCGAAAATTTGTTAAGCACACACAGAAGCTCTGTCCACGCCTACACCCACACACACACACACCCACACACACATAGACGGTCACACATTGAGCTGATTGTACGTTGTGTGCCATGGACTGTTCACAAAGCTTTACTTACTGCGATGTGCTTTGTCCGTGGGGTCTCGGCGCAGGACAATGCGACGCTTGGATGCGCATATTGGACCGGAATCAACATCGTGTATGACAATGCGTATGGCCTCGCCATCCATGGACGTTTGCCTCCGTGGCGCCTCCAAATCCTCCAAATTGGGTCCCGTAAAAGAGGCCATCGGTGGCGGTATTGCCGCCTGCAAGCCCGCCGGCAATGCGCCGCGATTCTGCAGGGCCGCTATATCCGGTCTGCAACGGAACAAGGGAGCAGCGGAACAACGGAATCATGCTTTTAGTACCAGCTGAGCCGTGGGGCTGATGTCAACTTACAGCTGTGAGCCGCGTCGTCGCATGCGTCGATCTTCGTCCACCGTCAGCACGGGGCTGCCCTTGTCCGGCGAGCTGGGCGAGTCATCGTTCTGCAGGTCCTCGGAGGCGTGCGGCATTCGGAACGAGGGGCGCCGCGAGCCGGGCAGCTGCACGGGCGGCATTATGCCACCGCCGCCGTCACACGGCGAGCGCTGCAGTTGCGTGGCACCTGCCGCCGCGCCCTGCATCACACCTGGCGCAAACACATCGTAGGCCGATTTCCTGTGGGCAATCGGGAGTTAGTCGTGGAACTTTTCTTTTTGGAATACCTTGACTCTACCTGCGCGGCATGGCTGGCAGGCCCAGGCCAGCGGCGTCGGCGCCCATGCCCAATGCGGGCCCACCCCCGCCCATGCTGCCGCCCACACCGCCTGCCTTCATGTCGTCGTCATAGCTGTGCTGCCGCGAGACCCGAGAGCCGCGCCGCGACTGCATCCGCGAGAGCGGCGCACCGAATGCGGGCTCCAGTTCGCCGCCGCGCGGCGGGCTGTTCGAGCGACTGGGCGCCATGCTGCGACCGCCTTTCAGCTGCTGGAAGTACATGAATTATTGTGAGACAAAGGGCTTAACTGTGCTGGGATTAACTTACGCGCTCCAGCTCCTTCAGCGATGCAGGTGAGACGTCTGAATGGCGTCGCAGCTCTGGACTGCGCGGCGGTGCCAGGGCAGCTCCATTGCTGGGCGCCAGCGTCTGTGTGCTGCTGCCCAGCTTGGCGTCCGAGTGCCGGCGCTGCAGTGCCTCCAGCACGGGCACGTCCAGTGTGGAGTCCGTCGAGTCCTGCGGTATACAGACGCGCGAGGCCATCTTGCGCCGGCAGACGCTGCAGCGCCACATGTTCTGCAATTACGTGAGAGAAAATCAATGCAAGGATGGATGAAAGGATGGAAGGAAGGAAGCGGGCGACACGCGTGCACCTAATTAAATTTCATGGTTAAGCGCTGAATTCTATTTGCCGCTGCTCGAAACAGCGGGATAATATTTATTAGTTTGCTAAAGTTGAAGAAAAACCACATAATGTTGCTCTACGATGGCTGCTGTGGCTGCTGCTGCTGTTGCTGCTGTTGCTGCTGCTGTTATTGCTGTTGTTTCAGAGCCTGGTTGAAAATAAATATTAATTACTTTCTGAACAAAAGTTGCAACGGTTTCTACCTAGCGAAAAAAGAAACCATCTATTTCTGTGTACGTGCTCGTAGGCGGGCGGGCAGTGGGAGAGGGGGGTAGTGAGAAGCAGTTGGCATGTCCTCAATTACGAGCGGGCGCACATCAGTGCCCACCACGCCCACCTCGTCCGCCACACACTGCGCTCGCTAAGCCCGAACAATGGCCGCTACATTTCCACCTGGTCGTTGATTCATTTTACCCGGCGGAAAGGTCGTATGTGTGAATGCAGCACCGGAAGTTGGCGCCATTTTAATTAAGTTGCAGCAGAGCGTATTCTCTCTCTGTGTGTGTGTGTGCATCAAGTGCGTCTATAATCATGGATGGTGCTGTATTGTCCCCCGGCTGCACCCAGCTCCAGCCACAGAATCACATCCAATGCAAAAGCTGCGCTTTCGCTTTTATTGCTTTTGTTTCCCCCAGCTGGGTGCGTTATAATTACAGCTGCTGCGGCAACTGTTCGTGATCCCAGTGAGAAATCAACTGCGACTGTTGTTCTAAGGCTTGCACAAGCACACTTACACACTTACACAGAAGCAAAGCACTTCAATTGCAGTTTGTTAAGCACTAATTTTATATGCATAAACAGGAAATCGATTGCAGTGGCTGCATGTGCTCAAGAGCCACAGAGAACGGAACAACAAAGCTTGAATATTGGCTTTACTCAATACGAGATTAGAGCATCAAGGCTGCCGAGTAGCAGCAAGTAGTGCTTGCTGGGATATTTACAGTGGAAAATGGTAAACAAGATTTTTAGATTAAGCGACATGCTTGTCGCAATTTGCATTTGCATATATGGGCAATTATTTGAGTGGAATGCCTCCTCTGACTACCCAGATAAACAGCACACAGAACTGTGATGATAATGATGATAATATATCTATAATTATGTGAAATATTACAATGGCCACATTTCATTCGATGCGATGCGAGCAGCAGTATTAATATCATGCGGCGCCCCTATGGGTATGCAATGCTATCTGAATTCAGTGAGCATATCATCATCCAGTGCTCCAACCCCACTGCCCGCTGTCAGAAATGGCCAGCCCTGATGACAGCGGCTGGGACCGCAGTGTGGTCAAGCCAACAGCTGGCTGGAATGTCGCATGCGTTCATTGTGCAGACGTGGGCCATAATTACGCTCCTGTGGTCATAACTACATACGTGTGTGTGTGTGTGTAAGTTTGTAAACGTTGCTGAGTAACTGCTCGTGTGTGTGTGTGTGTGTATGTGTGTTAGTAACCGCCCACAAACATCAATTTCAATTAACCAAAGTGGCCAGTTGACGGACAAACGTTAAATTTTATGCGCAGGGCGTAGCCGGACACTTCAGAGCTATATACATATACATATACATATGTCGACGGCATGTTGAAAGCCGCCAAATTATCAGAAACTCAAGATAAAAGCTGCAGTCCCGTTGCCATTGCCGTTGCTGATTCAACAGATATGCGACTCTCTGTAGATGTCTCGTCAACTTGTTATTGTTGGCCCGTCAATGGACATGATGTGTGGCATTGATATATGTATGTATGTACGTGAACTGGCTCGGATTGAACGGTTCGAGCATGGCAGGCGGAGGGCTGGTTAGTTGTGGGCGTGGCCGCATGGCTGGGCAAGCAACAGGCCAGTTGCAAGTGCGGCCAGTGCCGGCAGCTGTCGGCTAATCTCGTTAATCTGGCTTTTATCTTGTAAATGCCACGAGGCGGAGCGAAGGCAACGATGGGCTATTGTTGCTGTTGCTCGGACTGTTGGCGGTGCTGGTGGTGTTGGTGGAGCGACCCTAAATGTAATCTAATTTGTGTGCAGGCAGCGGTTAATGTATGCCAATGCCACGCCTTTGTTGGCACGCCCTCGCAATCATTGTCACAGCCAGCAGCGCTTTAGTTTTTGCTATGGCGAACGGGAATTCCAGCGAGCCACTCACACAGACACACACACACACAGAAACTCAAAGAGCTATTGTTTTTCTTATTAATTAAGCGCCGCGGGATAATGTGTTTATTTTCGCCACGCCCACAAATGGACATTGCCTAGTGGCATGGAAACGTGTTGTTCATGTTTGCGCTGCAGTTGTCCACAGCTCCACCTCCATGGCTGGCAAGAACAACAACAACAACAACTACAACTACAATAGCAACAACAATAACAATCAACACTTACCGCATCCTCGTGCTCATCCAGCTTGCTGTAGCTGGCACAATCCTCGCACACGCGCTGCTGGCACTCGAAGCACGTCTTGTGGTAGTCGTCCGGCTTGAAGGACTTGAGGCACACCCGACACGCGCCCGCTCGGCGTCCGGGCTCCTGTTTGGCCGCGGCACCACCACCGCCGCCCCCCGTGCTGTTATTGTTGTTGTTCAGATTGCTGCTGACCTCCTGCTGCTGCTGCTGTTGCTGCTGCTGCTGATGCTGCTGCTGCTGATAGCTGAGTGAGCCGTAGCTGCCGCTGGTGTCCGTATCCGTTGGCACCAGCGACGGGCGTGGCGACATTTTATTAACTGCAACGAAAAAAGGAAAGAAACACCAACAAAAAAATGAGAGCTCAATAAAATGAACCACAAATGCAGTCAAGTCTCGCCCTCGCCCTCCCCTGGGCGTGGTCAGCGCCCTAGTAATTGACTTGTTGCTGGCAAAATGTGACCTGATTTCATAATTAATTCATTTGCAAATTGCTAACGTGACAGCCGCCGCCGACAATGACGACGACGACGGCGATAAATAAAATAAATGACTGCGATTAGCGATAGTCAAAACGGAAATTGCCGACAAGGCAGCGACAAGTGGGCGTGTCGCCGAATCGTCAATTAGCTAGGCCACACTACGTCGAACGTCAAAAGCGAAAGCAGCTCAAAGCGAGCCCACTGAAGGAATGATTAATATTAGAAGAAATGTGAGCTTAGCCATAAACATTATATATTTATTCTATTAATATTAAATATAAATTTGCAGACTTATTTTTTAATGAATGAATGATTTTAAAGGGTCGCAAAGGCTGGCATGGAAAAGGTTGCTCTTGCACAAAGATGGCTTTCTTTTGCACATTGCGTATACGCACAGTTGCACGTGCAGTTCTTTTTCTTTTTCGCCTGCGGCACGTAAGCCTGACATTCAGATGGAACGAGTGAAACAATGTTGGGCAGCCGCAGGGCAAAGTGAACATTTTCAAGTACACTTTAAATTATTAAATTGTGTAACGGCAGGGTGAAGTGCTGCTAGCATGTGTAGCTATTTGAAATAGTTTGTTGAGTGCAGCTGGAGTGCTGGTCAGTTCGCTAATAAAATGTTGCTAACAAGTGCACATTAAGTACGCTCAATTATGTGGCGATTCGGGGTCAAAAATATTTACACAAATTATGCACACAAACAGCAGCAGGAGGAGCCGAAGTACTTGACACTGTGACTGTGGATTTGTCTCGTGGGCAGACTCGGGGAGCCGCTGTCCAGTGGAGCAGAGTTGGTTAAATAAACATCATAAAATAACATTTCATTTCGATCTAATAAATCTGCTGTGGCCGCAATAAAAGCCAGAAGCCATCGCACAGTCAACTAAAATGCAATAAAAGCAAGAATAAACTGTTTCATTTTATTTTCATTTTCGTTTTCATTTCTCCCCCGCTCGTATTGACGAAACACAAATACTCTGCCGCAGAACAAACAGAAAATGTGATAATCGCATCTTAGCCGCACTCAATTGGCGTGTGATTGCGAGAGAGAAAATACAGATACATATATGCTGTACGAGTTTATATACGATTATCGAATGGGTCTCAGAGCCTCTTCAGAGCGTCTCATATTTCATGACATCGACTGAGCATCCGCCGCTGCAAGGGTATATTGACACGAAAGTCAACATGCTGCCATGGTGTGTGCGGTCGCTGCTGCTGCTAGACGTTTATTGACATTGGATTTGTGCTGTGGACACTAGTAAAAAATACAGTACAACTCTTGTTGTTTATGTCTGTCATAACAATGACTATGATAATGACAATGCCAATGCCAATGACTGCTTAATGCACTTGACTGCTGCGACGCTGACGGCGACCCTTGCATAATTCAATTTGCCCAGCGAGCGCATAAAGATTCGTTTGCTGCCAGATTAAGCGCCGTGAGCTAATGGGAAAACCTCAGCGGAGGCTGTTAGGGGGCGTGGTTGTTGTTTTGAGGTTGTGCTAGCTTAACGCATCTCCTGTTTCGGCTGATTGTTAAAAGTTGCGTGCACTCTGAGCGCTTACTTAGCTTTGGTCTTTTGTCTGCGCTCACGCTGCGTATACGTTATATTTTTGCAGGCATCCGCCAGCTGGCGCTTGGCCCTGCAAGGGCAAAGTTTTGTGCAAAGTTCAGCGAGCAGCTTTATGAGCACTTGAATAAAAATTCATGCCATAAATTCGCATGCACTTATGGACCCGAATGCCAATGCCAACTACCCCAACCCCCAGACCCCGATCCGAAACTTGGCCGAACTCACCTTTATCTGTCACGGTTAGCAGCGACGAGGAGAGCGTTGCCTTCATTTTGTTCAAGGCGCCCGTGTTCGAGGCGCCGCCGCCCGAATCTGTTGCATGCGGATGCCCCTGGTTCGCCTGCTCGTCGGTGGCCACCATCTGTGCGAGAGAAAAGAGAAGAATCGAATGTGGATGAGAGTTATAAATATTAATGGCATATCGAGCTGAAAGTTTCATTTGTGGCAGCTACAAAACATTTATAGGCGGGCATTGAGTCTTTAGAGTTTCAAATGCGATTTCTGCTTGTTGAAATTGAATTGAAACTGAATTCCGGAACGGTTTTATGGTCGTTTTCTTAACGGCACGCCAGCTGTTGCTCGGCTCTGCCAATGTATTTGTTAATTTTATTTGAATCTTCTTTTCACTTTTCATGCTGCCGCCTGCCGCCTGCCGCCTCCTGCTCCTCTGCCTCTACGCATATTTTTATAACGTCTTGCCAGCTCATGCTCATTTCGAGCATCGTCATTGTGCGAAGCACCGAAAACGCACGCAGGTGAAAAGAACGCGTTGCGTTTTATTTGATTTTGGGATATATTTTTTTCGTTTTTTTTTTTTTAGGGCTTTGTTTCTCTTTTTGTTCTCCGTTCATTGTGGCTGTACCTGCTGCTGGACCGGCTGCGGCTCAGGCGCAACAAATTGCCAAGAAATCGTAAAATGCGGCAAGCAATTTTTGTTTAAACTACGAAAAGTGCGCCCAGGCGAGCGGCTTTCAAAAATTGCCGTCATTCTTTTTAATGCACACACACATACACACACACACACACACACATATAGTGCGAACAACAACAACAATGGCTGACTGGTATGCTGGCTGGTAAAGCGACCAACTGAGCTGCCCCTCCACTCCACTCCACTCCACTCCGCAGTGACATAAGTGCTCTGCGTTGTCAGCATTTTATGAAGTGGAAATTTTCTATTTGCCAAAGCGATGGCGGCGACGAAACCGGAACAAACAGCCGTCTATGTTGGGCTATATACAAACCATCCCAACACACATACTCACACTCACTCTCACACTATCTCCTTCTCTGTCTCGCTCACTGAGACTAGACGCAAATTACGCTAAGTGCTTTTGGCTGCAACGTTTTTGGTTGCCTACCTTTCGGCGGGGCATTCGCCGGCACTCGCCGCTGTCCTCATGCTCAAACTAAGCGCTGCCTAGTGTCAGATTATGGTCGCTTTGTGCTCAGCTTGTGCTACATATTTGATGATGTCATTTCGAAGCCGGCCTCAAGGTAATATTCATGCTGCTGCGGATTTATGTATATGTTCTCTGCCGTCTACCAGCTAGCTGCAAACTATATAAGTATCTTTGGCCTGGCGCTACGCCTTTGGTCTGACACGCCTCTTAATTTATGTGCGGGCGAACTACTCTGGCAGCGTCTGTGGCGGCGCCTTGAGCTGGTGCTTAGCACGTGTAATTATTGCCGTGTTAATTTCGTCATTTATTATGAGCTCGCTCTTTTTTTTTTGTATTTGAAAGGGAGCCGTGTCTCGAGCTAGTTTCTTATTTAGTGCCAAAAATTATGGGCTGTCACACGGACATTTAAGAGCTGCTGATGCTGCAGCTGCTGTTGCGGCCAAGGACCGTCGTAAGCCACACAAAGCCATATGTGCGTCCTTTATGGCCGTAAAGTACGCTACATAAAATGCAAGTCAATATGTAATAAGAGCAGCGCGAGAGACGGGGCTGGCGCAGCATCAGCAGCTTTTCCCCGTTGTGATTGAAAGCGCACGAATTGCAGCTGACTGAACATGAAAATCAATAAAAAGCATAACCATGGCAGCCATTCACAACGACTCTGCCATACGCTAACAAATTGAGCCTGATTTACAACAGCGAAGGCTGTCGGGCTGATTGGCATTACGCTCACATAAATAAGCATGTTCCCATCGATGGATATGCTAATGCATGGCGTGCTTTTGGGGCATGCCAGCATGAAGGTAAAATAAATAACAGAGCCAAATTGTAAACATCAGAGCTGTGCACTAATGTGCTTATGGCTATGTGTATGTCTGGGTGTGTGTGTGTGTGTGCTCGTTGCAGCGAAAGACCACAAACAACTGTCAGCCGCAAGATGCAGGCAGCTAGTTACATTATGGTCTGGCATGCTGTGTGAGTGTGTGTGTGCGTTGGGTGTGTATATGTGTGCGTGTGTAAAGTTCAGGAAAACTATTAAGAAAATTACAGCACATAATTTACAACAGACGCTTGCTTGCTTGTATTTAAGCTTCTTTTTCTCTCTTTTAATCTCTTCCCAGCTCCTCATTTTCTCACTCTCTCCGTCCCTCTCTCTCTACACCACAATTACGCCCCGCTGATTGCCTTTGAAGTGAGTTTGCTGCTTTTTTAAAGCATTTTCCCTGGTCTTGCACAAAAATTGTGTGCGAATTTCGTTGGGCATTTAAATGGGCAAATAAACAGCTGAAGTTGGGGCAATCCTTTCACTCTGGCTCGCTGCTTGTTTTGACAGGATGTGCTGACAGTGAGATTGCTTAACTGTCACCAGCACATCATATTTTCTTGAGTCGGGTGGTTTTTGGGCTTTGATTTTGTGCTTCATTTGGTCTAATCAAAGTTTTAGGTGGCCGGCCACCTAAAGAAACATTTTTCCAAGCGCAACCAGGCAACTTCGCTTGACATTCGCTTGTTTCAGTTTACTTTTACTTCAATTTTTTTGTTTTTGCTCTTTGGTCCTTTGCTGCTTTTCTTAAAAGTTTTCCCAGGAATTTGGGGCTAAATTATTTTGAATGGAATTTACACTTTTATTTTGGTTCAGTTTCTTGGCTTTTTTCCCTTTCTCTCTTTCCTCTCTCCTGCTTTCATCCTCGCTTCGGCATAACCTTTCCGTATGTGAGTTTGCGTAGTATTATTGTTAGCCAAGCTTATGTCTAATTTTATTCCTTAGAAATGGGAAACGCCACACCCGACGGCAGGTGTTTGCCCAGAATTGAATCGCTTTGATTGCAGCCCCTTTTTATTTTATTCATGTATTTTTGATATTTTTCAGCTCGTCCTCTAGGTAGCACGCGGGCAAACTGGACTGAAATATGCAGTCAAGCGCTCAAAGCATTTACCGGACTTTTTAATTAAAAAGTTTTGTTTGTATATTGCTTTTATTTTGATTCGACCCGTTTCCCTTTCTGCGTCACGATTTAGCACTGTTTGCCATCCTCGATCGCTGTTTGAAAAAAGGCTTAAAATCATTGGCGCTGATATCGCCGATGTGCCTTTAAATGTATGCAGCTGGGCGGGTCATTTCAATTTCATTCGCAATTCATTTGTTTTTGCTGCATTTCAAACGGAAAACGCTCATTAAACTTTCAGTGCGAATAAAAAGGAAAGAAGAGAATATAATTAAAAAATCAATACGGCTTGCGAGTATGAAAAAGAAATTAAGGCATAAATTACGTTAGCAACTGTCAATGACAATAACAATGCGGATAACGCGACCAATTGCGCAATGGAGAGCTGTCTTAATGATGGCTTATGAAGGTGAATGAAGGATTTACGGTCGAGTGCTCGAGCGCGGCTGTTTGTTCTCAAAATATTGTTTTTTTGTCAGAGGATCTCTTTATAATTGGCATCATCGTTAAATGGGATTAACCAAAACGAAAGCAACTGCAAGTGGAAGTGAAAGTTCTCTTTAATTTACGCTTGCACTTACTTTCTTCATGAACGTCATCACATTTGTGGGCAACATTTTGTCGGAGCTTCGCGTTGCTACTTAAATTGCAATTAATCACGCATACGTCGCGTTGGTCGCTCGCGTGGCTGCTCCAATTTATGCTGTTGCGGCTTTTGTTTTGTTTCGCTTCGCCTGTGTCCGTGTCTGTGTCTGTGTCTGTGTGCGTTTCGGTTTATGCTGCCTTTTTCGTTTGTTTTGCACTCTTAAGCGGCTTTAAGTCATTTTTGTTTGGATTGCATTGTTGATGCCGATGCTGTTGCTGTTGGTGGTGTTGCTGCTGCTGCTGTTGTCCATTGTGTGCTCGCTTCAATTTGATTGAAAACAAATGGCCATTTGTCATGCGGCATGTAAATAGCCATTGACATTGTATAACGAAATCGTCCTTATAGCGTATGCAACACGGTCGCACGAACTACATGTTGCACATCAGCTTCGCGTGATTGATTTGTAGGCTGCGAAGCGCTTGCAGCCAGATGGCTAGAAGAGGTTTTCGGGGCCGACTTGGCGCTCGCTCGCCTTTAATTAACACCGGGTGTAATTTACAGCGCCTGCAATGAGTACAAGAAGTGGTAAGGGGCTATAATTAGTCACTGAGTCTAGGCTGGAAAATTGCCAGAGTTGTTATAAGTGCACATCATAGCCAAATCCCCGCCGGGCTTACACCGTACTTAACTTTTTGGACCGCCATAATTTTGCCAGCGATAAGTATCAACAGCGTTTGGGCTGCTCTTTCATACACACACACGCACACGCTCACACGCCCAGACACACACACTCTCACACACTTGACGGGGCGCTGAAAAGTCGATAGGCAAAAGTTTATAAGGCGGAAAATAATGTGTCGCGCTGCATGCAAAGTGCTTCAGGGCTTTGTGAGTTGTGAATTGTGGGCTGTGGACTGTGGGCGTGGCAGCGACGCGATAAACTGACCATTATAATGACGGCGGCTATAGCTCACAACTAGGTTAGGCAGTTCACTTGAAGTTGCGTGTAAAAATAAACTTGGGAACAAAAGCGAAAACGAAAAAGTAAGAAAGCTCTAGTCGAGACTGCTCGACTACAAAACCCCATGAGAAACTGATACATATATCTATAACTGATATATCACTAACTATTTATCGATTGCGTTAAATATTTATCGACCTCTGTCAGAGTCTGATCAGAGTCAGACTCAGAGAAACCCGGACCTAAGTTACATAAACCATTTTAAGTCTACGCCAACGATTGAATAGCGCTCTGAGCTGCATGACAGAAGCTGAATGATATAACACTCGATGGAAGATACATCTATGAAGCTTGTGGAAATGTTGATCATATTTGATCGCTAAACAGCAGGCGTAGCCTTTGAATGACTATGAATCTGTTCAGTGAATGCTGCAAAAACAAAACTTGAAACTTGAGTTACGGCAGCTGCCTGACAAAAGCTGAATATTAATTTCATTTACAGAAATATAAATGCTTTCAGTTTAGGTCCTCTAGTGAATTCATAGAAGAAGCAGAATTTCCGGAGACTGCATGACAAAAGCTGAATGGTATGACACTCGATGGTACATCTATGAAACTTGTGAAAATGTTGATTATGATTTGATCGCAGTATCAAAGGCATAGCCTTATAAATGATTATGAAACTGTGCTCGTTCAGTGAATGCTGCAAAAGTAAAACTTGAAACTTAAGTTACGGCAGCTGCCTGACAAAAGCTGAATGCTACGAGACTCGACGGAAATTCAACGATCAATGTGAACGACTGAAAATATGAAGCTTGTGTAAATATTGATTCTCATTGCTCACAAAATACAAAACATAACAATTTCATTTACAGAAATATAAATGCTTTTAGTTTAGGTCCTCTAGTGAATTTATAGAAGAACGGAGACTGCATGACAAAAGCTGAATGGTATGACACTCGATGGTACATCTATGAAACTTGTGGAAATGATTATGATTTGCTCGTAATATAAAAGGCATATCCTTATAAATGATTACGAAACTGTGCTCAACTCTTTCAGTGAATGTTACAAATGTTACAAAAACAAAACTTGAAACTTGAGTTAAGGTAACAGCATGACAAAAGCTGAATGCTACGTAACTCGACAGAACATCAGACTGAATAATATAAGTCTTATAGTCGAATATATTTTATCAGGCTCCAATGTTGAATATATTCATCAGGCGATAATGTTGCTATATACACGGACATTTAAACAAATTTGAAGTCTAGCTCTTGTAGGTTTTAAAAACGACGCGTTCATATTCCCATTTTTAATGGGTTCAGGGTATGAAAAGTGAGCAAAAAGAAATTGAAATTGTATATTTTTTTTGCAGGCTTACAGCTTAAGGAATTTCTGCCAGTATCTTAAAAAAATCATGCCTGGATATGCAGTATACGTCGCACAGTACTCAGCATCGGCTAGACCTCTCTTGCTTTACTCACTTTTCACCTGGCACTTTGAGAGTCCTCCTACGCATTTGTGTACTCAAGCTGGGAACTTAAAGTTCTGTCAATTGTTTTGCTTATGTCAGTCATTGTCGTCAGCTGGAGCAAATCCTTCGTGTGCTCGTAAGCTGCACAGAGCCATTCACAACCCTGGCGCTTTGTACAGCTTACGGAGCATTCAGAGCAAAGCTGTTTGCTCTTTCTTCTCTTGCCGGCTCTTAACTAAGAAATAGTTGCCGCACTTAGCAGCAGATAGCAGATAGTTTTCTCCCCCTTGCTATACCCTGTAGAGATTAAATCGACTGGACATGAACTGCAGAATTGAAGAAAATGAATCTATGCTTTGAAATGCATTGACTCGCTCCAGCTTCGATCTATTTCTGCTGAATTGATTACAATCTCTACCATTTGCTTTTGGTATTTTCTACCCAGCTACAAAGTATCTGCTGGCCAACTACATTCGTTTGCTGATTTCATTCTCTCGTTTGGCTTGGCTGCAGCATTATTAAATCAAATGACCCACATAGCCATTGAATCGCTCGATTTGCAGTCGATATACGATCTGTGCGAGCGCTTGCAACATTTGCAATTCCCACATCGAGTGGCTGGCTACAAAAATTAAAGACACTGCTCAGCTATTTGGCATGGTCCGAAAGTTTTAGCAACTTTGCGTAAAAAGAAATTGGCAAAGGAAATTTCATTTGAATGCATTGTTCATTGTTGGGTTATTTCTATCGTTTGGGTTGCTTTTGCCGTTTGTGTGCACATTACAAAAGTTCATAAAAAGCCATCGAAGCGCAGTTCGGAAAGTTTGCAGCCAACTGGAGGGCAGAGCCAGAGCCAGTGCCAGTGCCAGAGCCAAAGTCAGAGACGAAACTCGGAGATTCGTAGCAAATGGTTTGAGCATGACATGGAAAATGTTTACGCTAAATGAAATTTTTGACTTGCTAAATGAGTTGAATTCGCTCAACTTTATAAATGGCATTCGCAGGGGCAAAAAAAGAGAGAGAGAAAAAACTGCGAGTCAGGAAAATTAGTTGGAGCTCGAAGCTGTCAACATGCCAGCAACAGGATGGAGCTGCTTGCCGCGCCAAAGAGGACGACCAAGATAAATACAAATCAGGGCACGCTGCAATATGCGAGGCTCGGACGATATTCGGAGGGAGCTGCGCCCCCAGATTGTGTGTATGCAAAGCAAACTGTTACAAGCTGCAAGTGTTGGTTCGCCACGCCCATACCCAAGAGGATGTTTAAGAAGGCGGCGCCTCGTCTGGCAGCGCAGTGCTGCTTACACAAGCTAAGCGCGCCAGGATGTGCTCATAAATTGTAACTTTGGCTGCTGCTGCTGCTGCTGTTGCTGTTGCTGGTGGTGCTGCTTTCACTGTTGGCTGTTTGCTGTAGGCAACAAGCATGAAATCACATGAGCACACACACACACATAGAGGATGTCTGGCAAAGTTCCAGATGGTATGGTTGGCACATAGTTAATTAGCGCGAAATTGGCCAAACCGAGCCAGAGGCAGTTCGGGCCGAAGGCCTCGAGCCACACACAGTCAGCGCCATCGTCATCCTCAGCGCCGTCGGGTTTCGTCCTTTGCATGCTAATCGGTAACTGATCAGGATAGCCAATAATGTGAAAGGTCAAAATGTATGTGGCAATAATGCGTGCATTAGGCGAAATCAAACAAGATTTATCACACACGCCAAGCGACGAAGGACACAGGTCCCGAATTGTCACGCACAGGCGAGCCAAATCGAAATTGAAACGTTCGATAAATAAATACAAGCTAACAGGTTTTTTTTTTTCGTTTTGTCGCCGTCGCTGTTGCTGCTGCTGTTGTTGTTGCTGTTGTGCGTGCCACACGTCAGTGGAGTGTGGAAAGTGTATTGTAATTCAGAATTCCGGAACGTGCATGGGACACAAATTAACTGTTAAGCAGCATGCCATAATAAATGGCCAGCAAGTCCAGTCCAGATGAAACTGTGTCGGCCCAAATGAAGCATGAAGCGAAACTCAAATGGACCAGAGAAGCACAGCAGCCAGCAGCCAGCAGCTGAACTCAACTCAACTGGAGACGAACGGCAACAGTAGCTCCTCAAATTGCAGTTGAGAAATCGCAGTGCACTTCATAAATAAAGTGGATGGCGGCAGGGCGCAGGCGAGTCAGGGCGAGGGAGGGGCTTCACACAGCTTCATGAATGCCATGAATGAAGCGCTGTCAACAATGGCAAGCAACTAGTCCGGACTGCGTACAAAATTGAGTTGGAACATGAAGCATGAGGTGGCAGAGGGGGGGGACTTGCAACTGCAACTAGTTGCCCCCTGTTTGGCTGCGCTGCTGCACTGTTGTGTGGTTGCTGTTGAGGTTGGGACTTTGGCCAGCAACGGGATAAGATAAATGTTACATTTGCACCACATCCGGGTCGAGTTTTATGAGCAGTGGCCACGCTTAGCTGGGAGCCAAGAGCTGCTGCTGCGCAGCAGTAAATCAAATAATCTGACAATTGTAAGCTGATCAACTCAAATTAGCTGATAAATAAAATCTTGATTGAAAAGCCAATACCAATTTCCACAATAATCAATTAGGGCGTTTTATGACTGTGACTAAACAAACATGAAATTAGGTATTGGATTTCACATTATTAGAATGATACAACGCATTGAGCAATGCTGACCTTGGTTATAAAAACACTCTCTAATTCGATTAATTAGACAACTTGTCAGATTGATTTGGGTATCGACTGACTCATTGAAAGCAGTGCGTTTCAAGACGAGCCATCTCACATCTTTCAATAGCCTCTTCATGGCTCAGAGGGCATTCAAATAGGCCACAATAGAAATCAGTATAATAGAAATGCTATTCTTTTTAGATTGCCCTTTATGCTAATGTCATTAGAGCTTAACGAAAAAAGGTATAGAAAATGCGAAAAGGAAAATACTTGATTCACAACCCGAGCCGAAGGGTTACATCGACCCGCAGGCGACTCTTAACAGGGGCTAAATTAAGATTTACAATTTTTGTGAATCTTTTAATAGTAGATATGCGAATTTGTTTGAATAGCTATAATCTGATGGAAGGAAAATCGAACTGCATTTGATTAGCCGTCACTCT